CCATGGACTGAAAGGTCCCGGGTGTGATTCCCAGCCAAGGACACTTACCTGGGTTGCAGGTTCGATCCCCAACCCTTGTCCAGGTTGTGTGGGAGGCAACCAATCAATGTGTCTCTCACATTGATGTTTCTCTCTCGCTCTCCCTCCCTCCCTTCTACATTATTTAAAAATCATTGAAAAAATATCCTTGGGTGAGGATGAACAATAACAACAAAACATAAAAAGTTTTCCTTTATAAATTTTTGGATACTATGTTTTTAGGTACACACAAGTTTACAACTGTTATATTTTCCAAGTGATTTCTTTATCTTATCATTGTAAAGTGACTCTCCTTATTTGCAATGCAAATATTTATTCTAAAGTCTATTTTGTCTACTATTAATATAACCAAATAAAGCTTTATTTTACATATGCCCATTCTCATAATTTATAGCTGTCTTAAAAATTAGATAATCTGATGATTTATGTCTTTTTAAAAATCTATTTATATAAACTGAATCATTTAGACCACTTACATATGTTATGATAACTGATGTGTGTGTGTATATATATATATATATATATATATATATATATATATATATATATATAGTTTACATTTACATTTGTCTTTTTTTTTTCTCTCTGGGTTCAATTTTACTTGTCTTCTTCCCCTCATCCTTTCTTCTTTGCTTTATTTCCCTTGATTTTATTGCATTTTTCCTCCTTATCTGATTGTTTCTACTTTAGGTTTAGATTTCTTTTGCAATTCTCTGTTTGGTAAACATATTCAACAAAGCCTAAAGTTAATCCGTATGTTTGTTCTCCTCCAGAATAATACAATCATTAAAATGCTCGAATTTTGCCCAGCTGGTGTGGCTCAGTGGTTGAACATCAACTCATGCATGCCATCAAGAGATTGCCGGTTCGATTCCTGTTCAGGGCACATGCCCAGGCTGTGGGCCCAATCCCCACTGAGGGGCATGCAGGAGGGAGCCAGTTGATGTTTCTCACATCAATGTTTCTATCTCTCTCTCCCTCTTCCTTCTTCTCTCTCTAAAATCAATAAAGAAACTTTACTTTTAAAAAGGCTTGAATTTTGTTCATTCCACTAGGGATAATACTAGGTTTTCATGCTATTATTTTCCAATATTTTAACTCTACTTTTGTTGCTGTTGTTACTTCCTTACTTTTACAAATTAAACATTTTTCAGTAGTGTTATTTTATGGTGTCAATATTTGGTTAGACTTACCCACATTTTTATCATTTTCTTGGCTTACCATTTCCTTCCTGGATTATTTTATTTTTTCTTGAACTACATCCTTTTCAAGTTTCTTTATTGTGGTCAACACTGTCTTGATTTGTCTGAAAATGTCTTTTTCTTCTTTCTTGAAATATGCTTTTACAGGATATGAAATTCTAGGTTGACAATCATTTTTTCCCAACACTTAAAATATTTTATTCTATCATATCTGCCTTCCATTTGGGGATATTTATTTTTCAGGATGTTTTTAGATCTTGTCTTTATTTTGGGGGTTCTACAATTTCACTATATTATATTTAACTGTGGATTCCTCTTTTTTCTGCTTGGGATTTGTTTTGCTTCAATAATCTAAAAAAAATATGACTTTCGTCAATTTTGAAAAATTCTTAATCATTATTACTTCAGTTATTGTTTATACCTTGTTCTCTCTAATATCACATTTGGAGATCTAATTAGACATATATTAGATCATCATACGCTATTCTCCATACACTTAGCTTCTTTTATATATAATTTAAAAATAACTTACTACCTCTATGTGAATTTACTCAGGTCTACATTCCATGTCATTGAGAGACTTCAGCTATTGAAAATTTACATATTTTTATTTCTAGAAATTCTCTTTAATATTTTCTCCCTATTTCTGCCAGATAATTTTAAACAATATTTGCTTCTTATTCATTTTGGATTCTGTCTTCTTTTTAAAAATAGCAAATGTATTTTCTCATCTGTGTCTAATAATGGCAATATCTATGGTCTGATTATATTGCTTGTTGTTTCTGTCTACTTTTGTGTCTTATTTTAATAGTTTTTAATTACATCTCATTGTAATTGTGACTGTGTAGGAATTTTTCCTGGCTCGAGGGGGTATTAGTCAGAGTTCTCCAAAAGAAACTGGAGAGAGAGAGAGAGAGAGAGAGAGCGAGAGAGAGAGAGAGAGAGAAAGAGAGAGAGAGAGAGATTGATTGTGTGTATGTGTTTATTATAAGAATTATAAGATTAAATTCATGGCTTGATATTTCTGACCACAAAGTTAGTGGAAATTTGGGTCTAGAACCTAAATTCTCACATGAGAGCTTGCTTGTAGTTATAAAGTGTCAGGAGAATATTATTCTTCCACCAATGAGAGCTAAGACTAAGATATAGACAAGTTTATTGGTCATCACCCTCCAGTGGGTTGGACATACATTTTCTTAAAAATTATCCTTTCTCTGCTTGACCAGTGTGGCTCCGTGGATTGAGCATCATCCCATGTACTGAGAGGTCCTGGTTCAATTTCAGGTCAGGGCACATGCCAGTGCTGTGAACTAGATCCCCAGTAGGGGGTGCTCAGGAGGCAGCCAATGGATGTTTCTCCCATCAATGTCTCTCTCTCTAAAAAATCAATAAAAACATATTAAAAAAATAAAATTATCCTTTCTCTGAGGGTAGAGTGTTTTGGGTGTTGACTTGACGTGGTGGTATCTTAGCCAACTTCCCAGCTGGTGGAGGCCTGTGACCTTGTTTGAGGTGGTTAGATGATTTCAGACGGCTGCCACTTCCTTGGATATATGCCCTAATTTCACTTTTGTGTCTGAGTATTTCCCAAGTTTTTTCTTTCTTTGCAATAATTTTAAAGGATTTAGCTATATATTCTATCCAGTCCTTTTTGCCTTATTTCAGAGTCTCTTTACTGCCATACTGCTATGAACAGAACTCTGTTGCTTATTTTAAAAATACAATCATATTGTTTTGTTTTCATTGTATCACAACTATTACCCTTGGCAAACAGTTCTGATTTTCTACTTTTATTTATGAAAGAAGCCATAAAGGGGGCTTAACTTCAAACCTGGTTTGACTCAGTGATGCCAGGAAGAATTGGGTTTCTGGCCCTCTCTATGCTGTGGTTTGTTTGTTTGTTTGTTTTTGTTTTTGTTGTTTTGTTTCTTTTTAGGGAGAAAGAGATAGAAACATCGATGTGAGAGAGAAACATCGATCAGCTGCCTCTTGCACACCCTCTACTGGGGATGGAACCTGCAACCTGGGCAGGTGTCCTGACAGGGAATCTAACTGGAATTTCTCAGTCCATGGGACTTCGCTCAGTCACTGAGGCACACCAATGGAATGTGCTGTGGTTTTGACGGAGGAGCTACCTTTATGCTGGGACCAACTCCCGGTGATGGAAAGATGGCAACCAACAATTCTGAGACTACTTCCTTCTTCTGCCAAACACAAGGAAGAGGGTTTGTGAAAATCCCCTTAGAATAGTGGGAAACATCCCCTCCCTCCCCCCCCACCCTCAATCCCAGGAAACCTCTCTTCCACATCTCACTGCCCAGAGTGGGTTGTGTGTTCATCTCTGAAGCAGAGATTCTGGCAGATAATAGGATTCAGCTGCTAAGCCAGAGACTGACCACATGCCCACCGCTTGCACTGGTGGAGTTGGTTCCCCAAGCTGGTGGTCTGCTCCTGGGAGGTGCGGATACCCCAACACACCAACACAAATTCCAGAATGTTGCCAAAAGAAAAGGAAATGAATGTTGAGAAAACCACCATCACAGGAGGGCTGGATGTAGAGACGCAGAGACTCTGGTATGTAGTGGACATTGCGAGTTTGGGTAACAATGGTGCCATTCCTAGTGGGCTCCAAACTCTCTCTTCAAAACAAGTAAGAGAATTGCCACCAGAAGAGAACGCGTCCTGACCTATCTGCTAATGATGGTCTGGGGGGTCTTCTATTTAGGCCAGCCTGGACACCAGGGAAGTATGAGAGACGGCTAGGACTGGGCATAGCAGGACAGCCCCCGATTGTGGATCTAGAGGGGAGGGCCAAAGGCAGGGTGGAGAACTTACTGGGAAACTCCAGCTCCCAGGGAGACCTGGCCAGGAGGGAGTGCTGAGCCAAGGCGGCACGTGACTCGGAATACGGTAAATTTTCTTGTGCGTCCACCTTATTCTAAAGCAATCCACAGTAAGTGGTGTACGATCCACATTACGTTGCGTCTTGCACACAGAATTGAAAAGAACCTCTTAAGGAAGGGGTGGGGAGATGGTAGCCACGCCTTGATTTCTGAAGTTTTACCTCACTCCCTCCCCTCACCCCCTGTCCCTCGCCTTTGGTGGGCAGGAATTCCTGGGCCACTTCTGGGGACGTTCGGAGCACCCGAGGGCAGAGAAGGAGGCTCAGGAGTGCTAAGGAGGGTCCCGGCACGAGGCGCTGCGTCCTCTGTGCTAGCGCCTGGATCAGTGGTCTCCGGGCCAACTCCTGGTTCTTGCCCAGGGCACAGAGGCCAGGCGGGGCTCGGGGACCGGGTTCGGGGGCCAGGCCCGGGCCAGCCGTCTAAAGGAGCGTGAGAAGCAGCGGCTCCTGGGTTTGCAAAGGGTCTAGATCAGCGCTAGCCGCAACACCCCTCCTTAATCCAAATCGAGTCCTCGGACTGGAAACGCCCCCGGCAGAGGAGGTCAGCGGACTTGGGGAGGGACGCTCTCCTCCCCAGCCCTACCCTGCCCGGTAAAGGAGGGCGGGAGAGCGTCAGCCAAGCTCCCTCTAGGTCCCCCGCGGGCCAGGCCTGGAGCGCGTCCCGGGCTTTCGCGAGGGTAACGCCTCCTCCCGCCGCCCCCGCCCCCTCCGGGTTCCGGACCTGCCCCGCTGGAGCCGCAAGCTCCGGCCCGTCCCCTCCCCCAGCCAGACGTGACCGGGACCTGCACTTGGGGGTGTCGCCCTGGACACTGGAACACCGCCTCCAGGGATTAAAGCGAGAACCCGGGAGGGTCGGAGTCTCCCGCGCGGGACAGAGGACGCGAGCTCCGCAGGAGGCGGAGGAGAAGGAGAAAGGGTGAGGGGCCGGAGCGCCGGGCCCAGAGAGCGGCAGGTAAGCGTCTCTGTGCCGGGTACGGGGTTCAGGATCCCGGGAGCAGGAGGGAGAACCTGGGCGACGAGGACGACCCGGTGCTCGGTGGAGGTGGCGGGAGGTGAAGCCAGGTGTGCGCAGCGCCAGCGCGGCAGGTGCGGGACGCGCCGGGCGGAGCAGGGCAAAGCGATCTCCGAGGGCCCTGGGACCCCTTGGCATCACGCGGCTGGGGCAGACTGTCCTGTGAGTCCCTGGCCAATTGGTCGGAGAAGAGGGTGCCTCCGGGTTCCTCGAGTGGATCCCTCGATCAGAACCGGCTCCAGTTCCACTCGTCCTCTGTGGCCCCGAGGTGGAGACCAGAGGTGCGCCTTTTTCCTTCGGGAACACGGAATAGGGGAGATTGTCGGTCCGTTTCTTTGTTTCGGGAAAATCTCTGCAGCCCGGGAGTGTTACCTGAACTCCTTCTGCTTCTTGGTTCCCTCCCGAGGTGGGGAGAAACTGGAAACTCGCTGAGATGCCCAGAGCGATACGACCGGCGCGGCAGGGACGGTGGGGAAAGGTTCCCGGAGGGTCCCCGCGCGAGGCACGAACTGCTCCGCCGCCCCGGAGGAGGGGCTGTCCGCAGTCCCGGCTCTGTTGTGGCGACCTGGCAGCGGCGGTCTGAACCGGGTACCTGAGCACCCGGCACCCGCAAGAACCGGTCCGGTGGAGCTGTCCTGGACCCTGGGCACGCGCTCCCTGCAGAAGTCCAGGCACCAGGGCGCTTCGGTCCACCGCATGCCGGACTCGGACGGTGGCCTGGCCGGGCGGTCAAGCCCATCAGCCAGGCAGGAGGAACCTTGCCTCGGCCCCCCGGGCCCTGCGGGAGAATTGCTCCAGGGCCTAAAAGTTTATGCTTCCATGTCACAGACGCCCTGTTTGCAGGTGGCCACCGTCACTGGCTCCCGCCCAGGCATTTGCGTGCCGGTAGCTCCGAGCAGGTGTCGCATATGGCCGTCCTGCGGGAGGACTCTGCGCAGTGGTCTTGAATCCCTTTTCGTATGCACAGGCAACGGGCCTGGTCAGGGGGGATCCTAGGGACGCCTTTGGGAAGGACATGATGGCAAGGTGCCGGAGGTCGACCTGGTCGGCAGGGTTTTCCAGGGCCCAGAGCCCCAAACTCAAACGCGCTGGAGGCCCCGGCTGAGAGAGAAGCGGGAACACAGGCGCGCTGGTCCTCCGGCTCCTGGTGCTCAGAGCCCTGCAGAGCCGCTCGGGATGTGGAAAGCTACAAAGGCAGCGCAGGGGAGCTCCAGGGTGTTTAGAAAACCTGAAGTGAGGGGAAGGTTGTTGACTTTACCTGGGAGATCTGAAGGTTCTCCAGGAAGTGAGAATGGAGCCAACCACTCCCGACCAAGGGGGGCTGGGTCAGAGTTAACCAAGGCCAAGGGGCCTGGGGGCTCCTAGGCTGCCCCTGCTGCTGAGTGAGATGGAAGGATCTGGTGGGCCAGGTGCTGGGGAGCCGCCAGGAATTCTCTAGCCTTGCTCCCTGCTCCCCCAGCTTGACGGAGGTGGGGCCTGCCTCCATCCCCCATCCCAGCAGACCCTGCTAGGCAGATGAGGTTGGAGTGCAAACAAACACTCAGCCCAGGAGGTGGGCAGCCCCTGGCCTGAGACCCCTGCCGACTGGTCATTCAAACCTCCCTTTCTGTTTTTCAAAAATCGCACCTGGGAAGCAGCAGGGGCCTTTGTTCTTGGTTTGGACATTTGGTTGGTCCAAGAAACTTCCTTCTTATTGATGCCCCAAGGTCAACCTTCTGACAACAGGCTTGTGTTGTTGCTGGTGTGCCTTGGAGGCTGGCACCTCACCCCCTGTCTGCCCTACCCTGGGCCAGTCACCTTGACCGTAGGAGCAGATTTGGCCACACTGTATTAGAATAACAGCAAACGTGGCATTTGTCTCCAGCCAGGCCCCTTCCTTACCTGTTTAATGCAGTTGGAAGGAAACCGAGGCAGAGCTCACTTGCCCAGGGTCCTCAGGGAGAACTGGGGATGAGGGCAGGCCACCTGGCTCTGGCTTCGGCACACAGGTCCCTTCCCTTGCCTTCCTCCAGGAGGGCCGAATGTGTGAAAGCCAGTGGGGAGAAGGGGAGAGGGGAGAACAAGGCCTGGGGGTCCTCCTGTGAAAGGGGCTCTTTTGTGCGCCAGGCTATTGTCCCCCTAACCTAAGACCAGAGGCCCAATGGCAGCCCCAATGGGCTGTGTGCTGCCCCCTTCCAGTGTGACCCGACAGACTGCCTGGGACTCCTCAGTGGGGCTGACCTCCTTGGGTGATGAGGCATCGAGGGACAAGACACTGATGAAATGTCCCATAGACAGTGAAACCTAGACACATACACGGGACAGCGTGCCAGTAATAATCGTCGTCTTATAAGTGTGCTGACTGTTCCTCCGGGTCCAGCCACGGGGTGAGGGGAGCATGCCACCAAGAAGCGTAGACCAGGATTCCGGGCTGGTGGCTCTTTTCCACCTAAACCTGTGGCCGAGTCCTGGGGGCGCGTTGTAACAATATGGGATCATTGCCTTGGTTCCAACGGCTGCATCAGACTCTGGGAGCGGGGAGTTTATTTTTCTGAACCTTCCAGAAAATTCCAGTTTGGGGACTACCTCTAAAGTCTAAGTCTTGGTTGTGGAAGCAGAAAGGGAAGGTGACGGGGTCGATTTATGGACGGTCAGTTTGGGTGACTTCAAGATTGGACGCCATCCCTGCTGGGGAGGAGTGTGGCATTCAAGGCCCTGAGGGCTTTCCCACCTGTTCTCCCCCACCTCTCTGGGTCCCCCAGAGGGGTCTCACTTCCCACCATTGCTGAGCCACTGCTGCGCTTCCTGGCCCCTCCTTACTTTCCAGGGTGCCTGCCAAGGACCCTGAGGTTGGGTCTGGCCCAGGACAAGTCAGGTGGCCTCTGGGCATGGGGTGCAAAAATGTCATGGACCTAAGAGCTGAGATCTGCACCAGCTGGGCTTGGTGAGCCCCTTCCTGGCTCGGGGATGGGACGCACTAGTGGCCATCTTGGGGAGCGCCGGCTTGCAAGTCCCCAGGGCAATGGTCCCTGGTATAAGGAAAGAGGACACGAGGCTGCCCTGTGCCATTGACCATCCTGGCTCCAACTACACGTGAAATCCCCGAGACTAGAAGGGGGCCGGGCGGGTCACACAGGCAGTTTTGGAAGCCCGTCTAGAGGAGGAGCCTGAGGTCAGAAGGAAGAAGAGCCAGCCTGGGCCCTGGTTCGTCCCCGCCTGTGGACAGTGGTTAGGAGGAGAACTGGGACACGAGGAAATGTCACAGTAGCAGCACCTTGGGAGAAAGGCCGACACTGACATTTCTGGTGGGGATGTGGGCAGTCATTTGGATTGTAAACTGTGGAGTTTGAAGAAAGGAGGTGACCCAGATACATGCTTTTGTCTTATTAGAGGTCAGCCAGGGAGGAGGGGGAACGGACTTGCTCTAGGTGACAGTTCCAGGCGTTTGGTCAGTGTGTACATGCAGAGGTGAGCAATCGGGCATCGGCGCGGGGGAGGGAGGGTGGTGGTGTGCGGTGTGCGAGGGGGATAGGATATAGAAATGCGATAAGAAGGACAAATGTTTGGAGGGCAGTCCGTGTTTGCAGTTGCGGCTGCCGGAATCTGGAAGTTCATGCCAGGGCAGAACAGACGGAAGAATTGGCACTTGGGGAGGGCTGAGAAGAGTGGGCGTGGCCATGGCGGTCCACTGAACGTTTGCCAGAAAATTCTTTCTTTCTTTTTCCTTTTCAATATATTTTCATTGATTTTAGAGAGAGAGGAAGGGAGAGGGAGAGAGAGAATCATCAGTGTGAGACAGAAACATCGATCAGCTGCCCCCCCTCCCCAACACCAAGGGGACTGAGCCTGAAACCTAGACGTGTGCCCTGACTGGGAATCGAACCAGAGACCCTTTGGTGCATGGGACCGTGCTCAACCAACTGAACCAGGGCTAGAAAAATATTTCCAAGTGAGAGCTGAGTGGGAAGAGGAAACAAAGCCCAGTCTTGATTACTGCTGGTTTATATGTGGCTTCAGACCCAGCGTCAGGTTCCCTTCAAGGTCAATGCCTTCCAAGGGGCCGTCCTGACCTCATTTCAGCCCTGGATCTGGGTTTTCTAGGGACGACGAGTTTGGAGTTCCTTCTCAGAGTTTCTGACCGCACAGAATAAAGATCATCATGTCTGGCCTCCCCGCTAAAGCCCAGTTCTGTTTGAGAGTATTCTTGAGTAATAATCTTCCAATGTTGGATCAAACATTTTTAGGTTGGAGTACTCCGTTCTCTCTAAGGCAACCCAGTTGACATTTGAACTTTCTCATTGTTGGAAACGTGGTTTCCCCGGGCTGAGTGAAACCCACCTTTCTGATATTTCTGACCTTTTGGATTCCGGTTTCCTCCTTTGGATTTACACAGAGTGAACGGAGTCCCTTTTCCCCAGAACAGCCCTTAGATCCTGGACGGTCAATCCTAGCTGCAGTCACCGTGCTACCAAGTGCTCATCACGTGTTGGGCTGCTAGGGACTTACTTCATCCTTGTGACAACCCTGCTTATTTATTATCCCCATTCACGAATCGACTGGAGGAAGTTCTCGGAACCTTAGCCAGGGGCCTTTGCACACCCCCTCCGGGAGAGCCCTGGTCCGGTCTGCCGTGTTAGGCACACGCTCAGTTCTGCCCACCTGGACCTGTGGGGTTTTGTCCAGGTGCTGGCTTTCCAGCTCTCTCGCTCTTATATTGCATCTTACTCATTTGGCCTTTGGAGCTCAAAAAATACTGGAACCATTTCTTTGTATGATACAAGGAAGGTTTAAAAAAATAATAATAAAGGACCACACCCCATTACTGCCCTATAAAGTTTGTCCGAACAATGAGGCATTCATCGGAAAAGAAACTTAGATGACACAGACAATACTTCCCCCAAGGTGATCTCTCTCTCTCTCTCTCTCTCTCTCTCTCTCTCTCTCTCTCTCTCTCTCTCTCTCCTGTATCATGGTGTGTACCATTTACCTGGTTGCCTTAAACTGTGTTGAACTGCTATTTAATCTACCACTGTCTGTTCACTTCAACAGTGTGTGCTGTCCCCAAGAGGTATGAGCGCATCTTTTTGTTCAATATGACGTTGGGCAGCAGTTGAGGCGTAAGGGACTCTGGTGGGTCATTTGTTCACTAGACAGGGCGTGTCTACTGCTGTTGTTTGCTCTGGAGTTTGAAGAAGGGACACAGAATCTGAGGTCCAGGGAGGTGGGCCTCATCGGCGTGTCACACCTCGCCACACCTGCAGCCCCTCGAAGTGGGGCCCTGCACCCGAGCAAATGCATGAATGGGGGTGCGTGATGAAGTTGGTGGAGGCTTCGCTATAAGGGAGACCCCGGGCCCCCTGGATGGGAGCCAGCACCTGTAAGACTGAGCTCATTTGCATTAGTTTGGTGGTTTTCCAAATTCGTCTCCAGCAAACGCATGCCGAGATGTCTTGTTTTGGAATAACCTTAGCACGTCACGGGGCGCAGCAGGATTTCACGGCGCGATCACAGATGACACAGGTGTGACTCAGCTCCCTGAAAGGAAGGCCCGCAGTGGACCGAAACGACCCTGTTCTGCTGAGTGACTCACCTGGACAGTTGTGAAGGTGGCCAACAACGGGGCAGGGTCAGGAGCATCAAGGCGTATTTACTTTTCTGTCACTTAAAGGAAAAGTGTTTCATTGTGGCTGGTGCCCAGAAGGAACAACTGTCTGTGTCCTTCGGCTGACGGGAAAGAACATTCGCGGCACCGTGTTGTCTCTGGGCCGCCCGGCTCCTTTCAGGCGGCAGTGGCTGTGGCCACGCGTGGAAGCGAAGCCGGACCAAGGCCATCGGCGGGTCTCGTCCATTGTGAGAATCGCCCGTCCCTTCTCGGCCAGAGGACAGCATAGGCGGCACGAGTCTCTCTTCGGTTCCGAAGTCCAGTACACTTGGGGTTTGGTTCTATGGGATCGCTGGATGAGACAGGACATCCTGCCGTTACTCCTGGTCCCCGGGCTTTCGCTGGACAGTTCGTGGCCGGGGCTCCCTGTGTGCCTTCCTCTCCGCCTCCTTGTCCCCCTGTTAGGGAGCTTGAATGACCGGGAAGCCGGGATTTGGAGCGCCGACTCCTCGCTGGGCAAGTCGCCAGCGGGATCGGATTTTCATTTCCTGAAACTTGTCCAAACCTGAAACAGGTGAGCGAGCGCAGAGGCACGAGGAGTGGCCGCCGGGAGCAGACCCTGAGAGGCCGGCACTCTCCAAAGTGATCTTAGGGAGAGTGGTCTTCAGAAGCTTGTCCCAGCTCCGCCTGGAGGGGGCGGCGCTAGCTGAGCCCCTGTCGTTAGAGAAGGCTCCCTCCTCAGGCGCAGAGGTAGGCAAGCTGGATCCATAGGTGGTAATCACACCACCTAGAGGCTTAAATATTACATACATATGTGTGTGTGTGTGTGTGTGTGTGTGTTATGTTTCTGGGTATATACAGATGTATATACACTAAATGGTGTGTGTGTCTATATATACACACACACACACATATATATAGTGATGCCTCCCCCCTATATATTGACCTATTCTCTTTCTTCTTACCCAGAAAGCTGTTGTTGCCTTTCTTAAATCTTAACCTCAGCACTGTCAACATGAACGTCCTCTTATAGTTATCCTTACCCAAAGAGTGGATACGTGCTCTGATGCATTTGGGGGCACCCCTTTAATGAGGCTTCCCAAGATTAAAAACCATCCTCGCGAGAAGGAACATGGTGGAGGGCTGGACCGGAGCAAAGGTTTAACTGATTTGAAATAATGAGTGAAGCCAGTCTAAGCTTCGAACAAAGAAAATGTATCCACTAGACTTTTCTTTGGGGATACATAAAAGATGAAGTTCACTGCACGGACCCGGTGACAGTCAAGGAACTGGGGGCCGCTGTCAAAAGAGGAAGCACACAAATACTGAACGAAAAGACCCCAGGGCGATTCCGCTGCTACCGGCCTGGATCAGAACGCTCATCAGTTTGAAAACAAGCATTGACAAAGAAATCACTCAGGTTCTGTTGATTCTTTTAAATTTTGAAAATAAACTGTTAATATATACCGACTTTAGCCCAGCCGGTGTTGCTCAGTGGATTGAATGTCGTCCCATAGACTGAGAGGTCCTGGTTCGAGTCCCAGTGAGGACACATGCCCGGGTGGCAGGCTCGATCCCCAGTAGGGGGCGTGCAGGAGGCAGCTGATCGATGTTCCCTCACATCAGTTTCTCTCTCTCTCCCTCTCCTTTCCTCTCTAAGATCAATAAGGAAAAAAGAATTAAACACTAGCTTTATAAAAAAATGACAACCCATCCTCATGTTTTCCTTCATAGCATGTTATTTTTAGAGTAATGGATGCGATGGTTTTGCTAAGGAGACAGCAAGGCAGCTATGTGCAGGAGTGGGCTCGCTGCCTTTGGCTCCGCTGGGTTTTCAGAGCTGGTGGACTTCACGCTGCTTGCTTGGGAAACCTTAACCAGAGGCAACTCTGCAAATGCCACGATCAGCCACCCCCACCCCATCTCTGCCACAGCAGGCTGCGCAACACGTATCAGCCTTACAGTCGCTTTTATTTAGAAGCGGAATGTATGTAGCCCTTCTTGTGAGCCAGGCACTAAGACCTTCACTCGCATCAACGCATCTCATACCCCCGACAACGCTGTAGGGGGTGTCACTGTTACCTCCTTTTGCAGACGAGGAAGCTGAGGCCCAGAAGTGCTCCCTGACTTGCCCCAGACCACAGCTAGTGAAGGACTGAGCTGGGGTCAGATCCAGAGGCTGGTCCCATAGGTCACGGGCTTCACCACACTCTGTTGTGCCTGCCCCTGTTTGAGCACCTGCTGTATACCAGGCACCTTACAGAAGGGAAACCTTCAGACCCGGTCTGGCCAGCTTTGGAGCCCAGAACTTTCTCACTGGGAACACGGCCTGTGGATGGATGATTGCCAAGGCCATTTCTTGAAGTCGTCTTCGGTCATTGCCAGAGAGCAGGGAGGGCAGATAAACGCCCTCATTTGCTCACGAGTGGGGAGTGGTGTCAGACGGGGCTTTTCTACAGAGCTTTTCACGTTGCTGGGCTTTCCAGATATTATTGTGAACTAGTCACAGACACCAGCAAATGACCCAGAGCTTTCTCTTCATTAGAAACTGTCCAAGTGATTGATTCTGAATCTCTTTTCTGGATTTAGGCTAGTCAATGGAGTAGTGGGCCGGTGCGGATGTGTTTTACAGATTTTTTTTACATATGTGTTTATTAAGAAATGGAAGATTCCGGCCCTGGCCGGTTTGGCTCAGCAGTTAGAGTGTTGGTCCGCGGTCCAGAGAGATATGGGTACAGTTCCCGCCAGGGGCATGTACCTTGGTTGCAGTTTGTCCCCGACCCCGGATGGGGTCGTGTGGGTGGCAGCCAGTCCATGTGTCTCTCTCACATCGATGTTTCTCTCTCTCTCTTGCTCCCTCTCTCCCTCCCACTCTATCTGAAGATACATGCAAAAATGTCCTCAGGTGAGGGTACAAAAACAAACAAAAAAGAAATGGAAGATTCCGTAGGGCTTATTTAAAAATGCCAGGTGTGTCCTCTATCTGGTGCTCGGTGCCCGGCACTGCCTGCGCTCCCTTTGACTCCTCAACTAAACGAGACAGCGCCCAGGACCACGTCCATTCTGTCCGAGGGTCAGAGAGGCTCCGACATTGCCCAGCGACACCTCCAGGAAGTAGCCCTGCCAGGAGTTGACCCCAGGTGTGTGCCCACCTGTAGCCTCTGCTGAGCTTGAGGCTACACGTCACCTTGTGTGTGTTTCTGGTCCCTGGGTTCTCCGTTTAGTAGCGGGAGCCTCTGGGGGGCATGGCCCCCCGGAGAGAGCAGCGGCCGACTCCTTCATGGGCAGCTTGTTCTGGAGAGAGGTGACTCTCACCTGGATCGTCCTCTCGTTCCTTCTCAGCTGATCTGGAAGCGACCTGCTGTGGAGGCCTCACGGTCTTGTCATTCTTTCTCCTAGGTCATCTCGAACGCTCCAGACACCTGCCACTACCTGATGCTGCTGACAAAGTCAGGATGGCTTTAAACTCAGTAAGTGGCTAACTGTCCCCTCCTGCACTTGTCCTCTGTTATTTCCCTTATTCCTTCTGTTATTCCGCGTGGTGGGCGTCGGTCGGCACTTGAAGAGCTGTTGGTCGGCTCCCAGGATGTCGGTCGAGGCCTTTTGCACATTACAGGTGAGCAGGGGTCAGGGTGTGGCCACAGCAGCGGCACAGGTGAGTCCCAAAGCTGTTAGGTGGGTGTGGGGAGATGTGGGTGCTCACCTTGGCCTCTTGTCTTCCTGCCGTAAGGGTGGGGTGGGCAGAGGGCAGGGGCGGTGTGGAGACAGACGGGGCAGGACGGTGCTAAGAGGAGCTAAGTCCAGGGGAAGGAAGTGTGTGGGCTACATGGGCCAGCAGACTGTCGTGTGGCCTGGGGACAGGTCACGAGTGAATGGGGCACCAACCTTGTTCACCTGGCTCATCTTATACCTGGGAATAAGTGCCTTTAGTAAAGAGCCGTGATTAATAACAACTTTCTAGATCCTGTATCTAGAAAAGAGACCCTTTGCACTCCCCGCCCTGATTTGTTACTGGTATGTGTTTTCCCTGCTCCATTTCAAATTTAAAACCCACGGCGTGGGACTCTGCCAGCACAAACGACTCCGCCGGCCGCAGCCTCTGCTGGTGGACGGCCTGTTCTCAGATGCTTCTGATAGAGGCCGAGCACCTGCCGCTGGTTCTACCTCGGTGCCTGCTCAGCAGGGAGATTGCCTCTCGTTTTCCCTTTCTGTCTGCTGCTTGGTTCAGACTCACGGTCTCTGGGCCTGAAGGAGGGAGGGCGTTGGTGGTCGTTAAGTGGAGGTGAACCCTGGGAGGCTGCACTTGGCTCGTTGCTTTACAGTCACGCTTCCCTGGAGGCTCCGTGTAAATTCCAGGCGTGGAGTTGCCTCTGCTCAGGGTCCCGGTTCTCTCCGAGATCGCAGTCGACAAGAAATAAACAAGGGGGGACATTAGTAAGTGGGAAGAAAGTTTGCATGGGGATCTCAGATGCTAACAGTGGGGCCAGCTGGCCCCCCAGCCAGCAGGCGAAGGGGGGAGCTGATGTGGTGCAGATTGCAAGCTGGCGGGGTCTAGAGGGGCCTGCTGGGGCCTGGGTCTTAGAGGGCAGGCCTGGAGAGGCCACTGTTTTCCATCCTCACCTGAGGATATTTTCCCATTGATTTTTTTTTGTATAGAGAGTGGGAGGGAGGGAGGAGGAGAGAGATAGAGAGAGAGACATCAGTGTAAGAGAGGTACATGGATTAGTTGCCTCCTGCATGACCCCAACCGGGGCCAGGGATTGAACCCACAACCGAGGTATGTGCCCTTGACCGGGAATTGAACCTGTGAATCTTTGGTTCACAGGCCAACGCTCTAACCAGTGAGCTACACAGCCAGGGTGGAGAGACAGGGCTTTCTGAGAACATAGAAGTGAAGCAAACCCAAGGCTGCAGCTGAGAATAAATTGTGGCGGCTGGGGCCGTACCCTCCACCTTTGGACCCAGAAATCCCCCCATAGGGGCGCAGCTGCAGGAGTCCACACACTGTCCACAGAAATGCGTGGGCTGGGTAGGAAGTGTTTTAGGAACAACGGCTAAGCAGCCCCTGACTGTAAACCAGGTTCATGCCCATTAATAAGAGATGGTGAGCCCTGGCTGGTGGCTCAGTGGTTAGAGCGTCAGTCTGTGGACCAATGAGTCGTGGGTTCTATTCCAGTCAAGGGCACATACCTCAGATGCAGTTGGTCTGTGGCCCTGGTCAGGTCATGCAGGAGGCAACGTGTTGATGTGTTTCTCTCGCATCAATGTTTCTCTTTCTCTCTCTCCCTCCCTCTCTCTCCCTTCCTCCCACTCTATCTGATCATAGATGGAGAAATATCTTTGGGTGAGAATTTTAAAAAAAGAGAGAGGGATGGTGAGTAAATATGATACATTTTTATAAGAGAAGAGATACAAAGGAATTTGCAAATAACGTGCATTGGTAAATTAACCTCTGTCACTCACGTGTCCCTCTGTAAAATGGGTATATTTGTAATGCTGGTATTGCCAGTGTACAGCTCTGCAGCCCATTCTCACGGTATTGATTCATGCCAGACTTCTACACTTTTTCTTAAAAAGTGCGTGTGTGAAATGGGTAAAGGGGATCAGAAAGGTACACACACTTCCAGTTATAAAATTCGTAAGTCCGGGCATATGAGGGCCAGCATGATGACTGTAGTGAGCAATACTGTATTGCATATTTGAAAGCTGTTTTAAAAAAAATGGACTTTAAAGTTTTCATCATAAGGAAACAACTTTTTAACCATGTGTGGTGATTGAAGTCAACTAGACTTATTGTGGTGATCATTTCACAATTTGTACAAATATCGAATTATGATGTTGTACACCTGAAACTAATATACTATTACATGCTCATTATACCTCAATAAAAAAAAAATGAATAGTAAACAAAACTAAAAGCTAGTGACAATTCATGGGAATCTTGGTCAGTTTTTATTCTAGACGTTTAGCTTGTGGCACAGTCATAGGCGCCCTGAAAGACTCTGGAGGCTGCTCCAGGGTCTCGTCCCAGTGCAGTGGGCATGTATGTAACCTGCAGGGTCATGAGGGCTTCATTTCACTCATCTTCTTTTTCGTTGTTTAGGGATTACCACCAGGTGCTGGACCCTACTACGAAAATCATGGATACCAGCCCGAAAGCCTGTATCCCCCGCGGCCCTCCGCGGCCCCCACTGTCTACTCGGTGTACCCAGCTCACTACTACCCGCCCACGGTGCCCCACTACACCCCGAGGGTCCTGACGAACACTCCGACACTCGCCACCCGCACGCAGCCCAAGTCCCCAGCGAGGACACTGTGCACCTCCAGTAGGACCCTTTTCTTAATTTATCTCCTACCACGGAACCCGGGCTTGGGGTCTGCCTTCTCCAGTGGGCTGTCTGTTCCCGTCAGCTCCGTGGCCACCTCCCCTTGGCTGCTGGGCGTCTCGCCTCTTTCCCTTTGCCCTTCCCTGTGTCACAGCTGCCAGCTGCCAGGTGTCCCCTCCTGCCCCAGGGCCTTCAGGGCGTCTCGGGGCTGCAGACACCTTCATGTTCTCTTAAGTCTCCTGTCCCAGCTTTGCCTCTAGGGTGGTCTTTCAACATGGGCCTGTCTCCCTGGCCCCGTCCGCGTGGTTTCCCTTGAACAGATGGTGCGCTCCAGAGGCAGGGAGGAGACATCTCACCTTTCTTTGGGGTGCGGTTCCCCGGGTACCGCAAGTTGTGGTTAAGATGCTCGATAAGGATTGTGTGTGCAGGGGCTGGTGTGGTCCTTGTGACTTGGTCGCAGCTTTAATGACAGGTAGACAGACCCCAACGGGCCATGGAGAAGGGCGGAGGGACTGACGGCTATCGTCCTTTGCCCATCATGTGATTGCCTGTCTCCTTTACCCTCTCATTCACCTCCCTCCTTCGCGTTGGGCGCGGTCTCCTTCCTCTCTAGACCCTTCTTCTTCTTCTTCCCTGTGCGATGACCTGCCCAGGGCAGCAGTGGGCTCGGACAGACCGTGCCCTTCCCGAGCCGGTACGTCGCCTACCCCCCAACATTCGCTTTGACAACGGTTTTGTTTTACTCGGGGAGAGATGCATACATGTGCACACAGCGTGTGCTGTTCCAGGCGGACAGCAGAGTGACTCCCAGTGCCCAGCACAGCATAATAAGCAAAGCAAATGCTGCCCTGCTATCTGAGGCCCGGATGCCCTCCCTGCCCCCCAGCGCTTGACAGCCTGTTCCTCTTGTATGTTTGCACCCAGCTCCCTTCACACGGCTCGGGGTGTTTGTCTGCAGACAGTTTGGGTTGTTATAACTGGTGGGGGCGTTGTTACTGGCAGCTTCTGTGTAGGTGCCAAGGATGCTGCTGCACATCCTACAGTGCACAGGACACCCCAAAACCAAGAATGATGCGGCCGAGATGTCGGCAGTGCTCAGGCTGAGAACAGTCTGTCGGGTGGTGGGAAGGAATCCGGGTGAAGAGGGGTAAGGGATTCCGACAGTGGTCAGAAACTAGGGGTCCCCTCATGAGGTCAGCAGCTTCAGTGGGTGGTACTCATACCAGCGACACTTGTTATGCAAGGTGCTGAGGGCCCAGAAAACCTCCGCGTATGTTTGTGGATTCCAAAGAAATAACCCGGGGCCTGGCTGGGAGAGACAGGGGTTTGAGGACGAATGAGCACGGGTGGTGGCCGCCGGCGAAGTCCCGCCAAGTCCCATCCAGCCCACGGATGGGCTGCACCGGGCACAGCTGGCCGGTGCTATTGTTCTTCCCAGACTTGCCCAACACGACGTTTTATAGAGCACAGGACACAGAGAAAAACGGCATACAGCGGGAGCAGACGGGCCCCTGTGCCAGTTGTATGAGATAAAAACACGAGCCGTTGACAGTGAAGACTGACACCAGAGGCCGTTTCTCTTTGGCCTTTCTTAGCTGCTGGCAGTCCCCAGGGTCTCACAGCCTGCTCGCTCACAGAGGCCTTCGCTCTTCCCACCGGTGGGAGGGGAGCGGGGCACGGGAAGGCCCACCCCGCTGGCTGAAGGACCCTCCAGCCTGGCACACACGTTTTCACTTTCCAGGCAAGGGCTTGGTAACGACAGGCAGCCGGACAGGCATCTAAATGTCTCATCAGTTACTTTATAAGGGAAGAATATAAGCCTACAGATGTGATTTTGCATTATGAAATTGCCTTTTAAACTAAAAAAGGCTTACTGACTTACCTAGGTGTTACCTTTAGAACGTTTTGTTGGATTATAATATATGGAAACATATATTTCATAAGTGTAATGTTTGGCCTTGAAAGTATTTAAAAAATAATATACTATTATTTTTAGAGTAGTTTTAGCCTTATAGAAAAATTGAGTATAGAGGGTCCTCATATACCTCCTTCCCTCACCCCCAAAGTTTCCTATTGTCTTACCTAAGTGTGATACACCTGTTACAGTCGATGAGCCAATATTGATACATTATTATTAACTAAAATTCTAGTTTTTAATTAGATTTATACCCTTGGAATCATGCATTCTATCGGTTTTAACAAATGCTTGATGTGTCCATCATCATTACAATATCATAGTAAATAGTTTCATGACCTAAAAATCTCTGTGCTCCACCTGGTCACCCCTCCCCACCCCCACCCTCCACAACACTTGGCAACCACTGATCTTACTGGCTCCGTGGTTTTGTCTTTTCCAGCCATTTAGCTGGAATCACGCAGAATGTAGCCTTCCCGGAGCCTTGACAGTATTTTACAAGTTACTTAACTAGCACAGATTCCCCCGTCAAGAGTACAAGGGACCTTCTTGGACTTCACGTGTCTGTTTGCTTTGGCAACAACCACGGGTGTTTCACAGTGAACCACAATGCGTACACTCCTGCAGTTTAGGTTTTGGGAATGAGGGTCACCAAGCCTGTGCTGCAAACAGTTAACACTGGAAACAATAGACTAAATTGATAATGATGAAGGTAAATGAACAGCGAGTTATGATTAAACTCAACGACAGACGCAGTTGCAAACCAGCCCCGGGTCAGGTCCGGTCTGAGCAGACACTGACCCCAGAATGCTTGCCCACCAAGGGTAAAACCAGGGATGCCCGCCACCCAGAGCTGGGCAGGGTGCCACCACACACTGAGGGGTTAAGCCTACCTAATGTAATATCCCTTCACTCGCCAGGCAAGTTGTCTTTTTCTTAGATAAAACAACATATGTGCAAGTCGCCCAAAGGAAAAGATTACCTTTGGCCAGTGGGCAACACTGGCCATTTGGAATTTCCTCAGAGAAATCAGCCTCTTTGGCTCCGCGGCCAGCCTAAGAAACAATCACTGTCGGCCAAGTTGCGGTAACATGCAGGGTGGCCCCCGGCGCTCCTCAGGCCAGTGGCCTTGACCTCACCTGCGACCGTGAGAGCGGCAAACTCTTGCCCCCTCTCCCCATCTGAAGCAGGATCTCCGGTGATGGGGTCACCGCCACGAAACTGGTTAACAGGCTCCTCAGGTGGCTCGTCAGCCCATTCCAGTTTGAGAACAGACTGTGGAATTCGCAGAATGTGATAACAAAACAAGAGGCGAGGCTTTGAGCCCTGATCAGCGGGTCAGCTCTGGTCTCTCCGCTCCAGAGCGGCATTTCTTCCCTGGTTGGCTTCCGGAAGACACATGCGTACCTGTGGGTAGACCAGACCTCCCCACGCTGTCTCCCGCGCCAGCTGGTGTCCTGAATACACTAACGGGGTTGGAGGGTCTGATTAAATGCCTTCTCCCCGCTCCTCCCTCTCCCTTTCCACCTTCCTTCCAAGGAAAGCTCCCAGGAGTACCTGGGGCTGCCCTCCACGTAGGAATTGATGGGGCGAGGGTGTCTCGCACTGTCCTCTGAACTTTTATACAACTCTTGGCTTACGTTCTGACCTACAATGGCATGTCAGTTTTTTGTTTTTTCTTTAATATGTTTTTTCTTTATTGATTTTTAGAAAGAGAGGAAGGGAGAGAGAGATAGAAACATCAATGAGAGAGAACATTGATTGGCTGCCCTCTGCATGCCCCCCACTGGGGATCGGGCCCACAACCTGTGCATGTGCCCTGACCGGGAATCGAACCAGTGACCTCTTGGTGCATGGGTCAATGCTCCACCAGTGAGCCACACCGGCCGGGCAACATGTCAGTTTGTTTTGACTAGAGACTGTTGTTTACCTTTCCCAGAGTCTTTATTTTTAGCTGAAAATGTTCCTGTTCTCACACCAAACGGCCTTGCCGCTGTGACAACATGTAGCCAGTGGCCACGTGGACCACTGAGCACTTGAATGTATGGAACTATTTAGTAGTTTAACCAGTTCATGGACGCGCAGGGCACATGCGGCCAGTGGCTGGCACAGGGTGGTGTGGGTCTGCGGCATCATTCACTGGCAGCCTTGGCTGAGACCCTTCTGCGTGGCGTGCCCCTGCCCTGGAGGGGCTAGTTTTGGAGACATTATTATTACTTTGCTTGTGCTTGAGATTAGTGCAGCGGTTCTCAACCTATGGGTCGCGACCCCTCTGAGGGTCGAACGACCCTTTCACAGTGGTTGCCGAAGACACAACAGTAGCAAAACTGCAGTTATGAAGTAGCAACGAAAATAATTTTATGGTTAGGGGTGAGAACCACTGAATTAGTGAGACAAGGTACTTTTTCTCTTTTAGCCAATTGTTTGCATTAATCATTAATTTAACAATTTTAAGACCATGCTATTTTTGTTGTTAATCTTCACCTGAGAATATTGTTTCCATTAAGTTTTAGAGTGAAAGGGAGAGAGAGAGAGAGAGAAACATTGATGTGAAAGAGATTGGTTGCCTCCTGCACGACCCCACCTGGGGCCAGGGATCGAACCTGCAACTCAAGTACATGCCCTTGATCAGGAACTGAACCCATGCCCCTCTGTCTGAGGGCCAAAGCTTGAACTATTGAGCAGAACCAGCCAGGGCAATACAATAATTTTTTTTTTAATCCTCATCTGAGGATATTTTTTCCATTTATCTTCAGATAGAGCAGGAGGGAGGGGGAGAGAGAGAGAAAGACGTTGATTTGAGAGAGACACATCGACTGGCTTCCTCCCATACGACCCTGACCAGGACCGGGGACAAACCGCAACCAAGGTTCGTGCCCTTAATCGGGCCGGTGCTCTAACCACTGAGAAAACCGGCCAGGGCAACCGTACATTGTTTTGAAGAGCTTAACTCTTTTGCACATTGCTTTATATCATGGTTTTCTGCTTTTGGCCTCCAAAAAGCATCAAGGTCAGTGCAATGGAACAATTAAGAACTCCCAGGATATATTCTTTAAAGTCATATTTTTAAGTGCATAAGGAATTATTTCTTGATATGCTATGTTGTAAAAGTAGCGGATAAAATGTTAGGCTGTGACGTCAAAAAAGACCTTTGCAATAAATAGTAAACGTGTTTCTTTTCCTCAGAGACGAAGAAAGCCCTGTGCATCACCTTCGCCCTGGTGACCGTCCTCGCCGCCGGGGCGGTGGCGGCCGCGCTCTTGCTCTGGAAGTTCAGTAAGTGTGGGGACCCCCCAGGCCGGAGGGGGCGCGACCGAGGCCATGTGCTGGGCGTGGCAGGCCTGCTCGGGCTGGGGGCCCTCCCACGACCTTCCTGAAGCTTCCTCCTTACGAAACAAGCGGTCTTGTCATCCCTTCTGTTTGGTGGTGGCGAAGCCAGAGTACCGTTCCTGGAGCGGGCGGTGTCTGGGTGACGTGCTTCTACCCGGCCTGTGGGTTGTCACAGTCCTGAGCCTTTTGTGTGGTGTTGACACATGGTGGGAGAAGCATTCAAGTTTACCCAGTGGTTTGGGGCACTAGGTGCCACCTGGCACTCGGAGCATGGGTTCCCGCCTGGGGGCCACACCTGGTCCCGTGTCGCAGTGCACAGCGGTGGCAGCTGCAGGGCCCCCACGCCCTTCCCCTGCCACCAGGCCTTTTCCATCAGCCTCGGGCCCTGCAGACCCACAGGAGTCCCCTGTGTGGCAGAGGGGACGTGGAGCCTGTCCAAATCCAAGGCTGCGACTCCTTCCCCTGGCCTGCAGTCCTGTTTTCTTTATATATATATATATATTCAATTTACTGACGAGAGGGAAACATCGATTTGTTGTTGCAATTATTTATGTATTCACTGGTTGCTTCTGGATGTGCCCTGACTGGGGATCAAACCCACAGCCTTGGTGTAGCAGGATGGTGCTCTAACCGACCGAGCCACCCCGCCTGGGCTGCGGCCCTGTTTTCTTTGATGTTGCAGCAAGGACACCTCCCCTCATTACAATGACGGAGACATGTCCTTCCCCTGTTACGGGGTGGATGACAGAACTCTGGTGGGCGGGGCAGTTTCTCGGCTCCTGAGCCTGACGGGCATCTCCCTCCCGTGTCTCTGCTAGCGGAGAACAAGTGCACCGCGTCAGGGATGGAGTGTGGCTCCTCGGGGACCTGTGTCAGCGCCTCTCTCTGGTGTGACGGGATCCTGCACTGTCCCAGCGGGGAGGACGAGAAACAGTGTGGTGAGTGGGGACCTGCATGTGGCCAGGGGGTTGGGCACTGGGGCCCACCATGTCCGGGGCCTGACGGCACAGGCCTATTATGCCGTGAATCCCTACCTGGATCCTTGCGTTAACCCTGATTTTCAGATGAGGAGACAGGCTCAGAGAAGGTGGCTCCTTGTCCCACATCACACAGCGGGGAGGGACACAGAGCCAGTCCCCGGACGTGCTCACTCCTGCCGGCCACAGGGTGCCCCCACGTGGCAGGGAGGATAAGCAAGCAGTTTAAAAGCTGAGAGCACGTTGTGTATTTTGGGCTGTAACCGGAGTTGGGCTAATGTCACTGATCCCACACCTGGAGTTAAAAGCCTGTACCCTGAGCAGGTAGCGTTTCAGACAGTTGACGCTGGGAAAGACCATCCCCCTTCCTCTGTGTCCCTCCTTGGCGGGCTTCTGTCCTGGGCGTCCTCCTCCCAGGCCCACACGCTGTGGGGTGCCCTGGCATCCTCGCTCCCAGGCCCGCACGCTGTGGGGTGCACTGTTGTCTTCCTCCGAGGCCCACACGCTGTGGGGTGCCCTGGCGTCCTCGCTCCCAGGCCCACACGCTGTGGGGTGCCCTGGCGTCCTCGCTCCCAGGCCCGCACGCTGTGGGGTGCACTGTTGTCTTCCTCCGAGGCCCACACGCTGTGGGGTGCCCTGGCGTCCTCGCTCCCAGGCCCGCACGCTGTGGGTGCACTGTTGTCTTCCTCCGAGGCCCACACGCTGTGGGGTGCCCTGGCGTCCTCGCTCCCAGGCCCACACGCTGTGGGGTGCCCTGGCGTCCTCGCTCCCAGGCCCGCACGCTGTGGGGTGCACTGTGGTCTTCCTCCGCAGGCCCACACGCTGTGGGGTGCCCTGGCGTCCTCGCTCCCAGGCCCGCACGCTGTGGGGTGCACTGTTGTCTTCCTCCGAGGCCCACACGCTGTGGGGTGCCCTGGCGTCCTCGCTCCCAGGCCCGCACGCTGTGGGGTGCCCTGGCGTCCTCGCTCCCAGGCCCGCACGCTGTGGGGTGCACTGTTGTCTTCCTCCGAGGCCCACACGCTGTGGGGTGCCCTGGCGTCCTCGCTCCCAGGCCCGCACGCTGTGGGGTGCCCTGGCGTCCTCGCTCCCAGGCCCGCACGCTGTGGGGTGCCCTGGCGTCCTCACTCCCAGGCCCGCACGCTGTGGGGTGCCCTGGCGTCCTCGCTCCCAGGCCCGCACGCTGTGGGGTGCCCTGGCGTCCTCGCTCCCAGGCCCGCACGCTGTGGGGTGCCCTGGCGTCCTCGCTCCCAGGCCCGCACGCTGTGGGGTGCCCTGGCGTCCGCGCTCCCAGGCCCGCACTCTGTGGGGTGCACTGTGGGTCCTCACTCCCAGGCCACGCAACGCTGTTGGGGTGCCCCTGGTGTCCGTCGGCGCCCAGGCCCGCACTCTGTGGGGTGCACTGTGGGTCCTCACTCCCAGGCCCGCACGCTGTGGGGTGCACTGTGGGTCCAGCCTGTGGACTCCTCCCTGAGGAAGCTTGGCCCTGGGACAGTCTCTGCTAACCCTGCGGACACTTGTGTCCCAGGTGAAGGCCACCGTGTCTGTGCCGGGAGCGATTCAGTCTTCAAGCTTTCGACACAGTGCCTGCCTTTATTTTTGTGATGATGTATTTGTCACCATTTTCTGACATAAAGGGGCGAGTTTTTGAGGCTGAGCAGAGGGCGGCTAAGAGGTCAGGTGGCAGGGCTTCTGATGTCCCTACACGGACGTGCGCGAGTGCATCCGCTCCAGCGAGACAAAGGCATCGCTGGTTACCTGGAGGGTCCCTTCCTCTCCCTCATCTCGACATTTCAGTTGTGTTTGTTTACATACGTGAGGAGTTAATGGACTCACATGGATCAGAATTCAGGAGGTACCGAAAAAGCATGCAGTTAAAGATTTCATCTCCCTACTCTGTTTACACCCCCCACACACCCATACATAGACACACACTCACACACCATGCACACACACTCATACACACACTCACATACCATGCACACACTCACACTCACACACTATGCACACACACTTATGCACACACTCACACATAGACATAGATTCACACACACACTCACACATAGACATACCACTCATACACACACTCACATACCATGCACACACTCACACTCACACACTATGCACACACACTTATGCACACACTCACACATAGACATAGATTCACACACATACACACACACATAGACATAGATTCACAAACACACTTACACTTAGACATAGATTCACACACACTCACACATAGACATAGATTTACACACACACTCATACACAGACACAAACTCACACACACGCATACACCACACACACGTATATCAGACATACACCACACACCCTCACATCTGGATACACTCACACGCTGTGAGATCACAGAAAATATAAATTGGTCTCTGCCCCCAGTTCCTGGCACAGGGCTCCTGACACCCTGATTTCCTGGGTGACAGGAGTGTCTTTCGTTGTAATGAGGCGACCCTAGGAGGGCACGTGGATGGCTCCTGGGTGGGGCTGGTCCCCAGGAAGAACAAGCCATGACTGGAAGCTGGGGCTTTCTGGTCCCTCCTCCCACGCTCTTGAGGGAGAGGCCGAACAGTTACTGAGCGATCGCTCCCATGTGGTGAAGCCTCCATAGATCCCAACAGCCTGAGTTCAGGGAGCTTGGGGTGGGTGTGCCGTGGAGGTGCTGGGAGAGGGGCGCCCCCACGTGGTGAAGCCTCCATAGATCCCAGCAGCCTGGGTTCGGGGAGCTTGGGGTGGGTGTGCCGTGGAGGTGCTGGGAGAGGGGCGCCCACGTGCCTTGCCCTGCACATCTCCAACACCTCCTGTGAGGATAAACCGGGGAACGTACGCATGTTTCCTGAGGTCTGTGATCCCCTCTAGCAGATTAATCAGACCTCAGCAGGGGGTGGTGGGACCCTCCCATTTGGTCAGAAGCACGGGGCTTCTGAAGGGGGCAGTCTCGTGGGCGGAGCCCTTCCCCTGTGGGGTCTGACGCTATCTCCAGGTAGGCAGTGTCAGAATTACATTGTGGACACCAGATGGTGTGGAGGCTTGCTTGGTGCGGGGAAAGTCCCCGCACATTTGGTGACCAGAGTGTCAGAAGCAAAGTATCCTGTGAGAGGAAAGGAGACACAAGACACAGACACCGGGAGGAGGAAAGGTCTGGGTTGTTTTTCTAGCTCACACCTGTGCATACGCACACACACACTCTCCTGTAGACACACCATGCATTCACACGTACACACACATGCCTCTTCACCAGCCAAGTATCGTGTTTTTTCAGGTGCAACTAACATTAATTTCTTGCTTCTCCTTCAAGAGAGATTTTGCATATAAAGTGAATATTGTTTGCACGTTAAGGCCATTTCCCGGTGATGACCACCCAGCTGACTCTGCGGCGCTTGCTGACACGCATCTGGGAGTTGGGACATGGGCTCCTCCCTCTTCCTAGCTGCTGCCCAGATTCCCGCAGAGAGACACCCTTGTTCCCAGTCTCCTCCCGGGGAACGTTGAGGCCTGTTGACCGTTCGTGGTCACACCCATGCACAAAGCATGTGAACATATTGCAGGAAAGGTCCCCAAAGTAAGCTGCTGGGTCTGAGAGTTGTGCGTGCATAATTTGCTAGGTCCTCGTCGATGTGGTATTCTCGAATTTCCACATCAATTACTCCTATTACAGAAAGTCGGAGAACATAACGTGTGTGGTCTACACTAGAGCAGAACACACGTGTGACGTGCTTTGAGCCTGTCCTCCCGGTAGGCTGGAAATGATTTCCCCAGGGTGCCTGTCTCCAGACACTAAAGAACACCGCCAGCCGGGCAGAGTGTTCTTCCCACGGGCGTATGTATATTCTTCACGTTCGTTCACTTCCTACATCCACGGCTACGCTCTCTGGGAGCACTGACATGTCAGCAGAGAGACAGAAGAACCACTGGGGTGACACAGTTACCATCCTGTTCGGACACCTGAGATCTGCTAAGAGGGCAGGTTGAAGTCTTCTCACCACCGGAAGGAAGAAGGAGGGATGGAGGGAGGGGAGAAGGAAGGGAAAATCAGGTGGAGATGCTGGAGATGTTAATCAGCTCGACTGTGGCGATTATGTCACAATGCACACGAACATGAAAACAACAAGTTGTACACCTTAAATATATACAATTTTTTACTCGTCCGTTATATCTCAGGAAAGCTAAAACAAAAAAGTTATGATGCTTAAAGAAGAGACGCGGCCTGAGGCCAGCCCAGCTCTCCGGCACTAGCTGTCCCCGTTGCCTTGGTAGCATTTGAATGCAGGTAGTTGCAAGGGAAAAAAATCCCCCAAATCGTCCACAAATCAAGAACGAAATGTCTCCCTTACTTCCAATGACATCTGTGTCCGTTTTACTTTTAACTTTAAAAGTATATTTCATTCTGGTCACTGTTAGGAAATGAGGAGACTTTGTATTTTAGAGCAGAGTTAGGCGTGGAGTTTAGCAGAGAGGCGCGCCCATCCCCCTCATGGCTGCCAGTCTCTAACGGCTCGTGTGGGTGTGGTGCGCGGGTTACAATGGATGAGCCGATACCAATCCACCGTCATTAACTGAAGTCCTGAGATTACAGTCAGAATCACCCTCGGTATTGTGGACACAGGTATAATGACATGTCTCCACTTTTACAGTGTCATACAGAGTAATTTCACTAAACGTCCTCTATGCTCCACCAGTCCACCCCTCCCCCAGCACCCAGCGGCCCCTGATCTTGTAGTGTCTCCGTGGCTCTGCATCTTCCGGAGCGGCACGTATTTGGAATTCTACACGAGGCAGCCTTTTAGGCCAGCTTCTGTCCCGTTGTGCTATGCACTTACGTCTCCCAGTGTCTCTTCACAGCGTCGCTCCTTCCTTTTCAGCCCTGAACAGTAGTCCATTGTTTGGTGCAGCACAGGTTGTCTGTCCGCTCACCTCACACGTGGCTAGCTCAGTCCACGTGTGGCACGTGGAATGGCTCCTCGTGGGAGAATTGAGAACTATTCAGGTCGAGGCTGGTGTTTCACGGAGAAATGTCGGTCCGTCTGTCCGGCGGGTCGGGACCACAGATGGGAGGCGAGAATGAAGCCCGAGAATAGCTGGCCCCTCGCTTTGCACTTTGAGCCCACAGACATTCCCCAAACCACAGGGGGCAGTTTGGCAGGACACTTGGGTTCATCCCAGTCATGTGGGGGGCCACTCTGGGGTCCCCACTTTGCCTCTCTCCCCCACTATGAGACGTTCCAGAACTCGGACTTGTGGTTCCTTCTAGGGAGAGAGAAGAAAGCCTGGAACTGGGAGGGCCCGCACTGTATTTATAAAGTTGTGGCTCTTTAAACATTCTGTCTCTTTGGCAAAACGTGGATGAATTGAGAGGCCGAGCTTCACAACAGGACCTGCGCACACCCTGGGCACTCTGTCCACGTCCAGGGTTTGGGCGAGAAATGGCCGCGTGCCGCTCGAAGTGATGGTTGAAAGGGCATTGTCACAATCCCCTTTTCTTCTTCGTTTATTTCTTCCAAGTAGTTGTACTGAGATAGAAGCCACAGCGCAGTGGTTCTCACACGCTCACAGGTGTGTGCAGCCCTCCCCGCCGCCAGGGGCAGAATTCTGTCACCGCTTCAGGGGGAAAGCTGAGCTGGCACCTCTGCCCCCGCCCGTCCCCCAGGCACCGCTGCCCCCTCCTGGTCCCTGCTCTGGACGGTCCGTAGAAATGGAACCTGACAGTGCGGGGCCCTCGTGTCTGGCTTGTCCCTCGGCCGGGTCTTCAGGTTCACGGGCATCTCGTGTATCGGTCACTCCTTTCGTGGCAGTCACATTCCACTGTGTGGATGGACCACATGTGGACACTTGGTTCCACCTTTCGCTGCTGTGAATGGCGCCACCAGGGAACATCTGTGAGCGCACTTTTGTCTGGGTCCCCGCGTTCGCTTCCCGTGGTACAGAGCACTTTCAGCAGGGAAAGAAGAGGTGCGCGTCCCTCGGGTGTGGGGGTGCCTCGGGCAGAGGGAACCTCCAAGCCTTTGTGTCCCGGGGCGTCGGGGGCGGGGCTCGTGCAGCAGTTGGGACAACTGTCTGAAGCTCGTGGGTCCTCTCCTGCAGTTCGTCTCTACGGGCCGAACTTCATCCTTCAGGTGTACTCGTCCCAGAGGAAGTCCTGGCACCCCGTCTGCCAAGACGACTGGAGTGAGAGCTACGGGCGGGCAGCCTGCCAGGACATGGGCTACAGGTGAGCTCGGAGCCCACGGCACAGTGGCGGACACGGACCGACCAGGGGCTCTCGCTGCCCCCCGGGTGCGCTAGCACGCAAGCTCCACAGACAGTCGTCCCCTTCCCAGAGCTCATGCAGGGGGCCAGCAGGTGGAACTGCTGCCCCCTGTCTGTGAATGTGGCTCCCTGCCACCAGGCCTGCCTTGACCTCCATCCACTCCGGTTACGCAGGACCATCCAGTGCTGCGGTCGCCAGGGTCCTGGATGCAGACCGAGGGCCTCCCTGGGTGGCTGGGGTTGGGGGTGAGTGGGCAGGGCTGAAGGGGGACAGTCAGCAGGAGCAGACCCTGCACGACCTTCCTGGCACGCGCTGGGAGGCACTGAAGACTACTGAACGTGAGAGAATTGGTTGTCGGATTCATACACGAGAGAATTCTTTCCTGCACACACAGCCACAGGGGAGGTGAGAGGGAAGGGGTGTCCCCTCCCAGAGTCCCAGCCAGGGGCTCCCCAGAGCATCACTGGGAAACACTTGGCAGCCACCTGTTGTTGTGTGTGCTTTTTTAAAAAATATGTTTTCATTGAACTTTTAGGGAGAGAGAGATAGAAACATGGATATAAAAAAGAAATATAGATCGGCTGCCTCCTACTGGGGATCAAACCCAAAACCTGGGTATGTGCCCTGACCAGGAATCGAACCGGGACCTCTCAGTCCATGGGATGACACTCAGTCTACTGAGCCACACCAGCTGGGCAGCCACCTGCTTACAGGAGGCAAGGCCGTGTGATTTGATTACCACCGTCTCTTCCTTGGGGTGTCCCTGTGTGACTGCTCTGCCACTCTAGCCTGTTCTGTAGATGCCAGTTTTCAAAATGAGTCACCACTTGATAAAAACACTGGCATCTCGGCTAATAAAACACTAAAATGCCACCTTCACTGCAGGGTTGAATGACATAGTGAAGCCCCGTCATGGTCCAGGACCTGACTTTATAACTGGGCATTTCAACATCTGAAAATTGTGTCAGATCACATGTCCGTACACGGCCTCAGTCTCGGTTCTTTATCCGGACCCGCACGAGGTTAGAGACACACGACTGATGAAGACCTGGCCTGTCACTTCAGGATTATCGGATCCAAAGAGGGTCATGACACGGCCCCTTGTTCAGGACGAGCGGTGGCGTCTTCCGGGGTGCTCGGTGGCTCCCCTTCCTCTGACCTCCATGCGAGACGTGCTGTGATGCGTTTGCACTGTGAGAGGATTTGTGATCGCTTAGCCGTTACTTTGAAGACTACTTTCTGTCTCTTTCAGGAATAGTTTTTATTCCAGCCAAGGAATCGTGGATGACAGCGGGGCCACCAGTTTTATGAAGCTGAACATCAGTGCCGGCAACACCGACCTCTATAAAAAGCTCTACCACAGGTATCTGGTGATTCCTGCTCCGCTTTGACAAGCTCACAGTGAGACCGGCAGGGGCCGTCGCGGGCGTCGCTGGCCTGGGTCTGACTCTGCTCGCTGGGCTGCGGGGCTGCAGGGGGCAGGGACTCCCGGCAGGATCAGCTGCCTCAGCTGGGTTCAGCCTAGGGAAGGTCTGTGTGCCATTTTGTGGTGCCCTGTGCCCTCTGTGGTATTGGATGACAGGACAAAACTGAGAGTCTCCTTCTTTTCTCCACTGCCTGGACATTAGAGTTGTACCTACTATGTGTCAGGATGGGTCTCTAGGAACCAAGAGAGCACCTCGGGGACCCAGCAGGGTGACCAACTCAACCTGCTTGCCTGGGACTTGGCTGGTTTTAGCACCAAAAGTCCTGTTCCGCGGGAATCCCCCAAGACCCAGGCAGCAGGGGTGGTTGGTCCCCCAGCCCTGAGCCTAGTGTCAGGCGGGGCTCGACTCAGCCAACATTTCCTGTACCTCCAAGCTGACGTGCAGTCCTGGGTGGTCCCAGTGGTCCCAGTGGGTCCTTGGGTGGAAATGAACCCAAAGAGCAGGTTACAAGGTTGATGGTTTACAGGTTAAGGGGGTGGGGGAGGGGTGGGTTAAGCCACTCAGTTTGTTTGGCATTTAAAATGTTGACAGCCTTCCTAGGGTTTTTGTTATGTGAATGTTCATTAGTGTCAAAGACACAGTGTCCTTTGTGAAGACGCCTTCCCCTGCTCCCAGGTCCCTGTCACCTCCCCAGGTGGTGAGCCAGCCATCACCGCCCGGAAGGCCAGGAGCTGTTTCAGGGGTGGCTGAGTTCATCACTCGGTCCCTCTTTTCCCTGTGAGTGGGAGGCTGGAAGCAGGTTTGCATTCCTGGTGGCCACTGGCTGAGGTGTCTGGCGGGGCCTGGCTGCCCCAAGGAATGTGACAGGGTGAGCCCAGGTGTGCACGGCCAGGTGCGCCCATCAAAACAGCGGGGCTGCTGTTTGCCTGCCAGAGGAGAGAAGCGGAACGCCGGCTGCCCGCGCTCTTTGTCAGTGCTGAGAGCTCCTTTGTCTGCCGGGGTCCAGGTGGATGGGCCAAGCAGGGCAGGACGCTGCCATCTGTCCGCGAGGCCTTGGGAGGGAAGGCCATTGGTCTGGCACGCCGTGTCTCTGCCACGGGGGTCGGGGGCTTTCCTCGTGCTTCCAGAAGTTGCCCTTCGATTTGCGGATGAGAAAAGGGTCACACGCTACACCTGACAAGCTCAGGGGAGGCCTGTGTGGCGACCTTACAAACCTAGAGACCTAAGCAACCACACAGGATGTCTGAAATGCAACTTTCTAACCAAAAGCAGGTCATGGAGGGTAGTTGTGTTCTAGGTCCGAGGCTGGAATTTTCCCCTAACAACTGCCAACCTTTTCCTTAACTGAGCCTGTCATTTTTTTTGTTTTTTGTTTTTGTTTTTGTTTTCATGTAGGATAACATCCCTGATAACATCCCTTGAGAATATCCAAGTCATTTCCTTTATTCTGGGCCCCTCAAAGCACAACCCCCACACCAGGGCGGGAATCACGAATCCCCTCCTTGTGGTTACTTCGCTAATTGTTGGCTGTTCACTGTCCTGTACCACACATGCAAAAGGAGGGTGTGTCTGTCGTTTTACTTTTTATCCAGTCCCAGAGGTCCACCCTGCCCTACGCCGCCCTTTGCTTTCTCCCGCCTCCCTGATCTGCCACCCGCGGGTTTCTCGTGACCACGTACACCTCCTCCTTTGACTGTGACGCGTGGAATCAGGCGCAGAACCGCCGTTCTCTGGAGCATCTTCTCGGCCCACTGAGATTTTGCTTCGCAGCGATCGCTGTCGGTGTGGCTCACATGAACTCACGAGAAGTTCTTACGGGTTTGGATGTTTCTTACCTGGTCAATACCTGAGTCTCGTGGCTCCTGGTGGGGCTCTTGGTGCTGCAGTGTGCCCAGGTGCAGGCTGGAAGAGGGGAGTCAACCTCGTGACTCTTAGAAAACGTCTCTTCACGGGAGTGTGCTTGTCTCGGCCCTGCCCGTGTCCCAGGCCTCCAGGGCACAGCTGTAGTCCCTGCACCTGCGGACGGTCCCGGGTGGGGGGAGGTGCTGTAAACCACTTGCAGGACCAGGCGACCCCGGGACTGGCAAAGAGGTTGCAGTTAGGCACGGCGGCCCGCAGAGGAGGCGGATGGTCCCTGGTTTGGACCAGGTTCATAGGGTGTCTGTTCGGACAGGCCTGTGTAGTGGGCTTGTTCGTGTCCTGCTCCTTCACGGAGCGGTGGGCTGGCCCCGTGTGGGTCTTCGAGGAGTCGTCCGTGGGCGGTGAAGGTGGCCCGCGGTGGGTGTCAGGACGGCTTCTCTCCTCCTCTTCGAATTGGGAGGGAATGCGCTCTGCACAGGGTGCATGTTACTCCTTCCCTTCTGACCCTCGAATGCTTACCTCCCGAACGAGTAACTCTTTTTATTCTTCTGCTCCAGGGCAAATCATTGATTATGTGGTTTTCTGTGCGATAAATGTAAAGCAGTCACAGAACACCCAAGTTGACAAGAGGCTCCCTTAAAACATTAGAGGATGATTTTAAATCCCAGAATAAAAGTAATGGCTGACACTGTTGCATGCTCACCCTCAAAACCGCCCCGTGAGTTGGTGCTGTTATTGGCCCATTCTGCTTATGGGGAAACTGAGGCTCAGAGGTGCAGTCACTTGCCCAAGCCCACACAGCTAGGATTTGAACCCACACTGTCCCCTGCATGGATTTGTTTTCCTGATTCGAGCCTTCAGTCACGGAGGCAGGGGAGTGAGAACGTTGGAAGAAACATTCATTTCTAAGTATTCGGAGCGTCAAATGTCTCCTCGTCAGCCCTGGCAGGTTTGGCTCAGCGGTTGGAGCGTCGGCCTGCGGTCCCGAGAGACCCGGGTTCGGTTCCCGCTGAGGGCATGTACCTCGGTTGCAGTTTGTCCCCGGCCCTGGGCCCTGGTTGGTCATGCGGGTGGCAGCCACTCGATGTGTCCCTTTCACGTTGATGTTTCTCTCTCTCTCTCTCTTCCTCTCTCCCCCTCCCACTCTACCTGAACAAAAAATAGAAAAATGTCCTCAGGTGAGGATAAAAAAAAAAAAAAAAAAAAAAAGTCTCCTCGTTTGTCATGACCAAAATTTTCTTTCTTCCTTGTAGTGATGTCTGTTCTTCAAAAACGGTGGTTTCGTTACGCTGTGTAGGTGAGTCTTTGTTTTCCTTTCATGTTTCTAAAAAGGAGACGCTGCACCTTCGGACATGTACCCTGTTCTTTGGGAATGTGGACAGAGAGGGGCCCGCCCTGGAGCCGCCCGAGGTGGGGCTGGAGGCCAGTGGCTGCCCCTTCCGGGTCTGGGTCACTTGTGGTTCCCAAACCTTTAGCAGCGGGCAAGGCTCTGTCCCGGTGCCCCTCTGACGGCCTCTGGATCCTGCACGGGCTCTCGGTCCCGAGGCCCAGCTTCCCTGATGGAGGGCGGTGCTCCCAGGGGCCGCACACCCCAGTGGGCCTGATGGTAGTTCCCAGCCCAGCGGGGCTCAAGCTCCTTAGGTATCAACGGAGTGTTGTGACCCACCCGGTCCTCCACCTCCCCCGACCCCCACCCCCACCGGGTGGGAATACAGCCAGCTCACAGGGAGAAATTCCTCCTTCACTCTGTTTGGGAACCCTGGACCTCTGACACTTAGTCTCAGTAGGGCTCAGGAGATCCTGGGGTTTTTGTCGTCCAGGACCCCGCTGGGGGTCTGGAATCACAGTGTCAGCAGAAGTGAGCTTGGGGGTTGGTCCCAGGGGGTTGGAAGAGTGTCCTGTCATCCCTCCAAGCAAACAGAGGCCAGGCCATGCTCTCTAGAAGTTAGACCCCAAGCAGATGGGAACCAGAGGTGGCAACAGTTGTCCACCAGCCTTTGGGACGGCTGCTGTGTGGGTGCATGCTGTGTGGGTGGGTATCGGGGTGCTGCAGGGTGGCCCAGATTCTGCTCACGGCCAGCTGGGTTGTGCTTGTCGCCTTCAGAGTGCGGAGTCAACAGGAAGATGGGCCGCCAGAGTCGGATTGTGGGCGGGACCAGTGCAGCGCTGGGGGACTGGCCCTGGCAGGTCAGCCTGCACGTCCAGGGCATCCACGTCTGCGGAGGCTCCATCATCACCCCCGAGTGGATCGTGACAGCCGCCCACTGCGTGGAAGAGTGCGTTCACGGGGGCGAGGGCTCCGGGGTTTGGAGGTGGCTCTGGCCGTGTGACCTTGAGCAAAGTCTTTTGACCTCTTCCAGCTCTAGTTTCCTTGTGTATAAGGGGGGGTCATGGCCCCAGCTTCGTGGTGGCGCTGGGAGGATCCAGCCCGCCCCTGAGCAAGTATGCTTTGGGCGTCCACTGAATGAGGTTCTGGGAGCAAGGCTGCGGGGGGGGGGGGGCTGGGTGTCACTGGCCTTTCCTGCCCTCTTGGGAGCTTTGGTCTCTTCTGGACCATCGTCCCCAGAAAGGGCACCCAGACACGCTCAGGGATCACCCACCGCCCTGCTGGAAGGTTGCCTGTGGCCTCGGCTGAGCGTCCTTGGCCGCTGCGCTGGCCACACAGCCAGGCTGGGAGGGCACAACTTACAGTGTTCGCGTTTGTGGAAGATACTGTCCCTTCTCCTGTTTTCTTAAACATAGTATTTTTTCTTATTTTTATTTTTGTGTGTGTGGTACATGCCCCTAGCAGGATCTGAACCCGGGACTCACTGGTCCACAGGCCAACGCTCAACCGCTGAGCCAAACTGGCCAGGGCTTAAGCATAGTTTTTGGTGGCATGCCGATGTAGGAGGCAACCTCACTTGTCAGAGCGATTGTCTGGTTCGAGTGTGGCCGGGCCGGCTCTGCTGTGTGGCCGCAGGCGGTTCACGCAAGGTGTGGGGCTGCAGTCCTGCCCCGTGAGCGGTGCAGCTGCTCCTCCCGGGGCTGCGGGGGGCTGCGGGAGGCTGTGGGGGGCTGCGGGAGGCTGCGGGGGGCTGTGGGAGGCTGTGGGAGGCTACAGGGGGCTGCAGGGGGCTGTGGGAGGCTGTGGGAGGCTACAGGGGGCTGCGGGGGCTGCGAGAGGCTGTGGGGGGCTTCGGGGGGCTGCGGGAGGCTGCGGGGGGCTGTGGGGTCTGTGGGGAGCTGCGGGAGGCTACGGGGGGCTGTGGGAGGCTGCGGGGGGCTGCGGGGGGCTGTGGGGAGCTGCGGGAGGCTACAGGGGGCTGCGGGAGGCTACGGGGGGCTGCGGGAGGCTGCGGGGGGCTGTGGGGTCTGTGGGGAGCTGCGGGAGGCTATGGGGGGCTGCGGGGGGCTGCAGGGGGCTGTGGGAGGCTGCGAGGGGCTGCGGGGGGCTGCAGGGGGCTGCGGAGGCTCGGGAACTGGGCAGTACCCAAGCCTGTCCCTTCCTTCCCTGCACCGGACTGTGCCAGCCACTGGACTTGGGGTGCTCTCAGTGGGAAACCCCTAAATAGAGGGAATGCCTTGATGGCTGTAGACCTCAAGTTTATTATCACTACACATTTATTAAGCACCTTCTGCGCCTCGGGAAATGCCCCAGCATACAAAGGTAGGTAAGACCCAGTCCTGCCAGAAATGAAGTCTGAAACCTCAGGGAGGCGTTTAGGTCTAGGACGAAGCGTTCTCGGCATTGCGGGGGTACGTGGGCTGCAGCCGAAGCTCACAGGACCCACAGGACTCAGAGCGGGCGGGAGGGGGAGGGTGTGCGGGGGTGACACGCCGAGATGGAGGTCAGGGAGACTGCCACCTGCTCGCCAGCCTCCCCGGCTCTGGCGGCTGGTGTCACCCCGACACCCTCGGCTTCGGCGTCTGGCTTTTGATCCCGGACGGGGTGCTCCACTTGAGGCCCGGGATGCTGAGCGGCGTTCTCTCTTCCAGACCGCTGAACAGCCCGCGCCACTGGACGGCCTTCGCGGGCATCCTGAGACAAGCCTTCATGTTCTACGGGAACGGGTACCGAGTAGAAAAAGTGATTTCTCATCCACATTATGATTCCAAGACCAAGAACAATGACATCGCTCTTATGAAGTTGCAGACACCGCTGACGTTTAACGGTACATACGTGTGCTCGCGGGGCTGGGGCGTGCGGACAGTCCGACCAAATCTGAAGGGGGGTGACTGCAGGTGCAGCGCGCTGCGGGAGATGGAGGAGGCACTTCCGCCGAGTCGGGGTGCTGTGCGGAGGGCTGGCCGGTAGAAGTGTGCTCAGCAGAAGCCGGCTCACCCCCGAATGTGCCCATGTGTGTTGAGGGAAGCAGTGACCCCTTCTTTCCTCCACACAAGAAGGTGATTTAATCAGCACGAGAGAGGCTAGAAAAGGGTTCGCCACAGCCCCGCTGCCTCTGGGGCCGGCTAATTCGTTGTGGGGGGCTGCCCTGTGCACTTTAGGGTGTTTGGCAGCACCCCTGGCCCCTGCCCACTGGATGCCAGGAGCACCTCTCAGTGTGACGAGCAAAGATGTCTCCAGAGGTTGCCAGACATTCCTTAGGACAGAATCGCCGCCGGTTGAGGCCAATCGGTCTATAACTTGCAAAGATTTATTTTTTTCACATAAATTGTGAAAATAAAATAATTTAAAATAATAACAACTGCCCGGCCAGTGTGGCTCAGTGGTTGAGCATCAACCCATGCACCTAGAGGTCTTCAGTTCGATTCCCGGTCAGGGCACATGCCCAGGTTGTGGGCTCTATCCCCAGTGGGGGGCGTGCAGAAGGTGGCCAGTCAATGTTCTCTCTCATTGATGTTTCTCTCTCTCCCTCTCCCTGCTTCTCTCTCTAAAATCAATAGAGAAAAAAATAAAAATAAAAAGATATATAAAATAATAACAACTTAAAGTTATTTAAAACAAAACAAGAAACATGCCTTCCCTTAGCTTTTTATTTGGGCCCATTCTAGTGCATCCAAGGATCCAGAATGCTCTAACGCCGTGTCCAAGGGTCCGAATGCTCTAGCCCCATGTCCAAGTGTCCGAATGCTCTAGCCTCATGTCCAAGGGTCCGAATGCTCTAGCCCCGTGTCCAAGGGTCCGAATGCTCTAGCCCTGCCTGAGTACAGAAGAAGCAAAACCTCACCCCTCCCCTGGAGGCGTTTGCATTCAAGTCAGGAAACAATGTGGACGGAGAAAACCGATCCGTGAGGCAGCGCCCACTGCAGGCCTCCCAGGGGCAAAGCTCACCAGCTGTCCGGCCACTGTCACAATCCGTCTGTTTTACCCTCTGTCACTCGGAGACATCGTGTCTCTTTCATTTCTATTTCTTGAAGGTTTAAGTTGGAGGAAAAGGGGCTTGTCTGTGTGCTGGAGCAGAGCTAGCAGGAAATACTCCCCTTTGTAAGTCGCATGACTTGCAGAAGCGAACGTCTTGCCTGGTGGAAGGAGGACTTTGGCAGGGGCAGCAAGTGGAAGTACCAGAAACTGTTGGAATCTGGGATTTTCCTTGGGCAGGAGGGCCCAGTTGACACGAGGGCGGGCCCAGGGCAGACCACCGCCTTCAGTTAGACCGGACCAGCTCACGGTGCTTTTTTTTCTCGAAACAGACAAAGTGAGACCTGTGTGCCTGCCCAACCCAGGCCTGGCGCTGGGGCCGAAACAGCCCTGCTGGATCTCCGGGTGGGGAGCCACCTACGAGAAAGGTGAGGCCCCTGGGCACCCAGTCTGCCGGTCCCACGAACACAGCCCTGGGTTTGGAAGTGGAAGGCCCGGGTTTCAACCCTGCTTCTACGCCCGGGCGACTGGGTGACTTCGGGCAGTTCGTGCGGTCTGTGTGCCTCGGTCTCCCCATCTGCCGAGCGGGAAGAACCGTACCTGTCCTGCGTAACACGCCGTGCTCGTGTCCCCGTCAGATGGGACAACGCGTGGAAACTGCATTTTGAAAGCTAAAAGCTATGCAAGTGTGAGAGGTAGTGAGTCGCCCTGTGATGGTGTCCTGTGGTCTCCTCAGCACAGGCCAGCTCGGGTTTCTTCAGTTACAGTTTCTCTTCCTCTCAGATACTTTTCAGAGGAAGATACGTTTCATGTTGTGGGGTGCGGAAGTGTTAGCGGTACGAAGGCACCTCCGGTGGTCCCCCAGCTTCCAGAGTGTGCAGGGCACACGGACGATGAGCCCTTTCGAACACGGGGCAGAGGACCGGGGCTGGGTGATGCGGGGGCTCCTCGGGGGACGTGGGGGCGGGTGTCCCGGCATCGTGCCCGGTGGAGTTTACTCCAGCTGAGCACTGAGGCTGCGAGCCAGGCCTCACAGCAGCCAGGGCGGGAAGGAAGAGCAACAGATAGTTTGTGGGACAAAATGAGGCAGAAATCTCCGCTCTCAGAAACTGCACCTTCTCGGGTGGAGGCCTGAGGCGGGATGTGGTCAGACAGCCTGGAGACATAACTGTTGCTGCTGTGAGAGGGAGGGAAGGCTTCTTGGAAGAGGTGACATTTGAGCTGGCATCAGGGTGACAAGAACCTTTAAGGAGCAGAAGGGCCAGTGTGCTGGGGCACGATGAGCCGGGGCGAGGGGCGGCCGCGTAGGTGATGGTGAGGACATTAGCTTCCCTTCCTCGCGAGACAGGGAGCTGTCGGAAGTTTTAGTCAAGTGAGTGACGTAACCTGATGGCTGTCACAGAAAGGGTGCAGGCAAGAGGAGACAGCACGCGATGGTGAGGGGCCACGACTGTGGCCCTCCGTGATGGGATGGTGGCCCGGACCTGGGTTTGGGCGTGGAGGTGGAGCAGTCTCGCAGGTTTGGGGTAGAGCCACCAGACCTGCTGATCGAGTGGCTGTCCGAGGGGCGAGGGAGGGAGGCCCCCAGCTCTGTGACGGGAGCCCCAGGCGGGCGACGGCCCCGTGTCCGAGCCAGGGGACACTGGTGGATACTGTTCCAGCACGAAGCCCGTGCTGCCCAGAAGACAGCAGGTGGGGGCAGCCAGGCGGGAGGGAGAAGTGGGGACTGAGGACGAGACACCGTGCGGAGGAGGGTGTGGGTGGACGGGGCCGTGGTTTACGGTAGGAAGAGAAGCTCCTGGCAGGCTGGGGACCGTCCCGGGCAGAGGGAGCGATGAATGAGGCGAGTTGATCCCACACAACCAAGTGGCTGGGTGGTGACAGAGGCCGGTTCTGGGACACGGTGGAGTTCTGTAGCTCCAGAGGCAGGAAATCTCCTCCCTGAAACCAAAAACTAGAGCCACGATGAGCACAGACCCACCAGCGGCAAGGATGACCCAGGTTCCCCAGGAGACGGCTTGGGAGGTTGGGGGGGGACAGGGCCCCTGCCTGGTGCCTGCGGTGGCCTGCCTCCAGGAGGGGCCACTCTGCCTGTGAGGGCTGCTGCGGCACTGATGGCGCCACGGTCTGTCTCAGGGAAGACGTCGGACGTGCTGAACGCCGCCGAGGTGCCCCTGATAGAGCCCGCGCTGTGCAACCACAGATACGTCTACAACAACCTGATCACACCCACCATGATCTGCGCCGGCTACCAGGATGGGGGCGTTGACTCCTGCCAGGTGATGCAACCTGCTGCTCAGCCTCTGGGCCGTGGCTACCCCAGGGGCTCTCTGAGCCCCTGTCTCCCCCATGAGAGATGAGGTTCCGTGTCCCCGGGACACAGCCAGCTCTGGGGCCCCGAGGGACCTGCTGGTGGCTGACGGTCTCGGGGAGGAGGGTTTGTACTGTCAACACCACCCACATGCCCCTGCTTCTTCCAAAAGGAGTTTGTATTGTCTGAGTGTCCCTGGAGCAGAAATAAGTATTAGATTATTTAAAAATATGGACACCCATCGACTTAGTCACTCTTAGCTGATCCAGACCAGTTTGTTGCTGGTGTAGTCTCTTCTAGCATTATATTTCTGTCACCTCATTGAGGGAGATAGCACAGCCGCACACCCCGTCGGAAGTCCCACTGAGACCCCCCACCCGACCCCTGTCCTCTGTGCAAGGTCCATGGTGTGTGCAGTTGTGGTTTGACTTCTCTGTTGCGTGCTGTGTCCCCCAGGGTGACAGTGGCGGCCCTCTGGTCACTCTGAAGAGCAGCATCTGGTGGCTGATTGGGGACACGAGCTGGGGGTCCGGCTGTGCCAAGGCTAACAGGCCAGGCGTGTACGGAAACGTGACTATGTTTACAGACTGGATCTACCGACAAATGAAGGTAATTGTCCCGCCCTCCAGGCTGGGGGCTCTGCCTTCTTGTGTCAGGGCCCAGATGTCTGTGAGCTATGGTCCTGCTGCAGGGAGCTGGCAGTTGCCCACCCGTGGGCATGACGCAGACGGTGCCTGTCTGGACCAGAGTTTGCATCCAGCACCCCTCCCAGCGACCCCCCCATCGCTGCTGGTGGCCTCACTCACATGCTGCCCAGTGGGCTTGGACGAAACGACTGGGCTCTGCTTGGCAGGGCTAACTTGATATACGGGCCTGTGCTCTGTGGACTGCCCAGTCCTGGCCCAGCCGGCTGCACCAGACCGCATCGAGTCCACATGTTGGCGGTGGGCAGACAGCACAGGGACACAGATTAGCCAGTTGGGTCGCGACTGCTCTGTCCTTTCCGGGCTATTGAGTGCGCCCTGGGCAGGTTCCAAAGGTCAGGGGTCGGGCAGCAGCTGGAATTCTCCGGTACAAATAGAGGTTGCGAGGGTGGGAGGGCCAAGGGTGTGTCCTGCCCCCTGGGACTGCCGGCCTGACCATGCTGCTTAGCAAAGACCTTCTCGGCACTGCCTGGGTCCTGGGCGAGAACCACGTCCCTCTCCACCCAGGGCCCCAGGACCGGCACCTGCCCAGGTTCCTGCCCCTGCTAGGGCTGGGCTGCTGGGGAGGAAACTGTCCTTTTCGTCTTCTCAAGTCTGCTGTGTGGGGAGGGAAGGGCGGGACCAGAGGGCATTGCCTGACATGGACCCCAGATACACCCGTGGGACCTAATACCTTCTAGCGGCCACAGTGCTGGCCAGTCCGCACCTGGCAAAAGCCTGCGTGCTGGAGAGAGGCAACCCCGATGTGCTGCTGGGGGCCGCGCCGGGGAGGGAGCTGGTGGGCTCGGCAGTGAGCCAGGCCACGGGCCGGCCCGTCTGTCCACAGAGAGAGCTGACCGCCTGGCGTGGCCAGGGCTTGGCTGATCGCTCAGCACAACCAGAGCATGGAGTGAAAGGCTGGGCGGCAGGGGACGCGGGCAGAGCCAGGATTGGGAAACACTTGATGTCTTTCATGGCTATGTCACGCTTGATTTTCCCCGTGAAGGCCTGGGCCCTGGCCTCCTCCCCCTCCCCCCTCCCCCTCCCCCTCCCTCCGGCCTCTGCACACACGTTCCTCAGCCCGCCGCCTTCCCTCCACTGTCAGCCCCCCTCCTGACCTTCGCGCTGTAGGGGAGTCACACCCCTTGCCCTCTTAAGCTTGCTCATGTGGTGTGTAAGGGCCTCGTCAATCTAGGAGAAAACAGTAAGTTTCCACCTTTGCTTATCTTACGAAAATGACGCCGTTTCTTTTCCTTTTGGAACAGGCAAACAGCTGATCAGCCCGGCCTCGTCCTGGATGCCGTTCGACACGAGAACGAGGGGGCTGGTTTTTAATTCCCTGTGCGCAATGTATTTTTAGAAATGATTCGGAGGTCCTTTCATTTTTATTAAATAGTGATCTCGGTCGTCTTTGGCACTCTCCACAGTCTGTGCAGGTCACAGCGGCTCGACCCCGGGTCCGTGCTCCTGGACCTCTTGTCCAAACGGGTGCCCGGGCGGGCTGGGTGTGGGTGCCTAGGGCCAACGCAGGCTGAGGGAAGGAGTCTGCCCGCTGGCATCTTCCTTCTGAGCCCGTCCGGGGGGGACCTATGGGGCTGGCGACCTCAACTGCTGGACAGTTCGAGATGAAAAGGGAGAGAGCCTGGTGGGACATCAGGGGCCACCCTCTGGGACCACTGCTGGGGAGGGCCACGGGGGGAGCCCCAGGGCCTGTCTCCCCACAAGAGATGTCACTGATCATTTTTAACTGGCTTCTTAGCAGCCCTGGATGGTGGCTGACAAAAAGGGACCAGCCCTTCATGGGTGATGACTTGATAGTCGCTTGAAAGGGCCTCAGAAACCTTTCTTTCTTCTTGTGGGACAAGAGCATAGAGCCCTTGGAGCAAGGGCAGCGGTGGCAGATCGGGTCACCCCGAGCACTGCTGGGGCAGGCGGCCCCCCCCACCCTCCTCCCTGGCCCGCCTCCAGCCCCTTGGAGATGTGCCCGCCCCACGGGCCTCCCGGGGGGCCACGTGGACTGCCATGCTGACTCTTCAGCCTGCTAATCACAGGAAATTGAGGTGACCTGGGAAATCAGGGATGTGTGATTCAAGACATACTGTTTGCATGTAACGTTTCCAGGTGTTACTACCTCCGTGCTCATGGAATCTTGGCCGTGGTGCCTCTGAGTAGTCGCTACATTTGGTTCTTTGAAACTGTTGTTGTCCTTGCCAAAGATGAGCAGTGGCCAATTGGAGCTTCTTTCAAAGTGACTGGCTCCTAAGTTCGTGTTCTGTAAACGAGTTTGCTGACGAACTGCACGGTGCTTGCGACAAGGAAGAGAAAGGTGTATGTTGGACTCCCAGTGGCCCCTTCCGGCCCCCGGGGGTCCCCTGGAAAGAAGGGCCGTGCTGGAATGGCCAAGGGCGATGGCCAGTGTCTGCCGCACGCCGGGGTCCAGAAGGCAGCGGTTCCCCTCCTGGGACTTCACCTGGGAGTCGAAGGAAGGCTGCACCACCCCGTTCTCAGGATGCCTCGCCCCATGGGCCTCAGTGGCAGCAGCGCCCCTAGAGGTGGCACAGACGCACAGCACCGAGGTGGCTGCTCCCCAGGCCGGATCTTAACAAGCCTTGACATGGTGAGAATGTGACCTCTCGTGCTTCTTTTTATTTATGTCACCCCAGTTTGTCTTGTGTTGTACGCTTTTGTTTTTTAAACTGTAAATTTGAATTGTGAAATATTGTACGAATAAATTATACTTTTTTTTTTCCCAAATGTTTACTGCGTCTCTGGAGTCCTGAAAGCAGCCAGGGCGGAGGGCCTGGGGCTGGGGCTGTGTACAAAGCCAGGCCTCAGAGGGAGCTCGGTCCGAAGGGCAGAGGCTCCGAAATGCGCAGGATCAGGGGGGCCACAGCACAGAGAGCTGGCGCAGACCAGACCCAGCCCACACTCCCAGTGCGGCCGGTGCTTTAAGAAAAGGCGGGGGTTGATGCCCCTTCTAAAATAACTTACGGATTTCACTGGCATACCAGCGGTCTCATTTTAAGTGCATCAGCTCCACAAATGGTGTTTGAGCCATCACTCAGCTGTGACTAAGGAGCGCGGTCTTCTCCTTTTCCCTGGACAGGAGAGTACGGTGGGATCCGACCCAAGGAAGCCTCGGCAGCCCCCGGCGCCCCCCTGCTGCCCTTACTGCTGCAGGTGGAGGACTTGCCCGGAGTGGAGGCCTTTCCTCCCCCACACACAGGGACCCTTGGGGACCTTCCCAGCCAGCCGGGTGCTTTTGTCTCAGCTGTTGCGTGGGTAGGATAGTGACAGAGGCGGGCGCCCCATAGCATCTTCGAGGAAAACCACAAACCCAGAAGTCACTGCTCAGTGCCAGCGTCTCCCACACCTCCTCCCTCCCACGGCATTTAGGCAGCACACCAGATCGTGCGTTCCAGAAAACGAAGGCTTTCGGGCAGTTCAGTCCTCCACCCTCTCACCTTGTTCTGCACCAAACTCAGCCCCATCCTGGGGGTCAACTGAGCCCCAGCTTGCCTGGAGTGAGGGTCCATGAGTGGGCATCACGGATATTTGAACATATCCTGCACGGTTGATGGCCCTTTAAGCCGGTGCTAGAGGGGGCATCAGAATCTGGGAAGGGCCCTCATGGGCGTGGGGTGGGGCGGCGACATCAGGGGAGTTCAGCCCCTTGCCTGAGCCCTGCCGCGCTCTGAGGAATCACCCACATGCATTCCAGGGCCGTTTCTTCCTGGGTCCTGGTCACTTGGGAGGAGGGACAGTGAATGTCTGCCCTGTTGATGGCTGACAGGCCTGGGAAATCCCTAGACACCTGCTTTTTCTTCTTTCCCACATTAAAAACAAAGCTTTATTGTTGAAAGCATTATAAATGTCCATCTTTTTCCAGATTTTAAAAAATTGAGTTTTGAGAGAGAGAGAAAGAAGCAGGGAGAGGGAGAGAGAGATAGAAACATTGATGTGAGAGAGAAACATCAATCGGCTGCCTCTCCCACACCCCCGTCCCCAACTGAGGGTTACGCCCAAAGCCCAGGCACGTGGCCTGACCAGAAATTGAACCGATGACCTCTTGGTGCGTGGGACAACGCTCAGTCCACTGAGCCACACCAGCCGGGCTACACGCCTGTTCTTTTGGCCAAAAGGAAAGATCGTAATCGCCTTCTGAGTCGCCATCAGATTTACCCCCCAGCACCCTACTGGGTAAATTCCCGATTCGGAGCACATACTATCCGCTTCCTTCCTCCACCCTCTCTGGGACTATAGCAGCAAAGAACCCTTGGCACCGCTGCCACCTGCCGTTCTGCTCTCCCAGAGTCTTCGCTCGGTGGCAAGGAAGACCCTGGTACTGGAGACGTTACTTGGGCCAGCCAAGAGGGGGCGCCAGCTCCCCAACACCGAGGTGAGAGGCTGGCCTTGTCTCCCAAAGGGACAGGTGCCCAGTACTGGCCTGGTGCCGTGCGCCCAGCCTGCTTACCCTTGTTCTCACAAGTCTGTGCATATTGGTATAGTGTTCTCTTTAAGTGCGAGCCAGGCTGGCTCCTGTGAGCCCTCTGCCCTGCATCAGCCTGCAGGGGTTCGGCACCTGGGAGAGACACACAGGTGCTTGCCCATTCTCCTCCTGGCATTCCCTCTCGGAAGGGAATTCTGCTTGTCCCGAAGCATTGAGCTGCATGGCGGGTCGGAGTGATCTTGCGGGGACGGCGGGAGGGGAGGGACTGTAACTAGCTCACCTCTCCGGCCTGACAAGCGGCTGCCAGCTTGGTCAGAGCCCTTTCTTTCTGGACGTCTTGGTAGGGAGTGCTCCTGCTGCCCGCACTGCTCCGAGAGGGTGCGGAGTGGGTCTCCCTGCAGCGCATCCGCTCATGGGTCCCCCTGTGGCACGGCTCACACACCTCGTCCCCCTGCTGGTCCTGCCTTCCCTCCTCTGGGCTCATGATGGTTCAGCTCACTTCACAGGACATGGTACAGATCCTTCTGGCCATCTGCCCCCCACCCCCATCCGGCTAGAGGCCCTCTGTTCAGTGCCCAGCCCGAGTTGGCTGGTATCTGCGAGCATCCCCACCCCCGGCTAGACCAGAAGTCATGACTGTGCTGTGTTCCTCCAGGGCAGTTCATGGCCCCTATTCCACTGTCTGCTGCCCAGACCACCCCCAACTGGGGCACCGCTTGCTGGACCACCTCTCCTGCTTGGGCCTTTAACTCCGGTGGGTGCCCAGGGGTTTCACAGTTGGACATTTGATCAGTGCACATTACAAACAACCGTGTGCCTCACACCCGGTTTCGCTCGACCTCCCATTTCCCCTCAGCCTCTCGTCTACGACCAGACTGTGAGCTTTTCCCAACGTCCTCACTCCTACCTGGCCCAGCCACGGGGGGGAGCCCTTGCTCCCGGGGCTCCTCTGCCGTCATTCTCAGCCTTCTCCCCCAAATAAAAAAGGTATCGGAGAAGTGTGGTTAGAAAGGAGTTTATTACCAACTGGTGAATTATGACTCTTGTAGCATTCATACACATGGTGCTAATGATCTTACGGCAGGAAAAGCCAGCAAGAAAACTGGGCGCTAGAGCGTCTATGGGGCTCACGTGCGGTCTGTGATGGAGACGCGGAGAGTCTGGGAGCAGGAACGGCACGACGGGATTCCTAACCAGGAAGAGGGCATCACCTGCCTGACCTAAACCGCATCTTTCCTGAGGGCGGGCCTCGTGCTGGAGACCAGGCTGCTCATCATAGCTTCCTACCAGGTCCCTTCTCACTGAGGGGTGAGCATGGGTCACCGACGAAGGCGCAGGTCTCCGGGGAAGAAGGCTGGGGGACCAGGGTGGGACAGAGCCCAACTTAACCTGGGAACTTGGCCAGCCGCTGCCGAGCCTTTGTCAGCCGCGCCAGCCGCTCCTTCAGGAACTTCCTCTTGTCGCTGGTGTCGTTTTGCTCCTTGAGCAGCCAGTCGAACTGGTCCTTGTCCTGCAGCAGCTGGAGCATGGCCTTCTGCAGCTGCTGGCCATACGACTGCAGGATGAAGTACTGGATGATCAGAGGGATGTGGTTGGACAGGCGCTTGCTGGCCTCCTGGAAGGAACAGGTCACACAGGGGTGAGGGGACATCATGAGAGGAAGACTCCCTCTTCGCCGCGGGAGCACCAGGTGGGACCACACAGATGCCCGCAGCGCAGAGGGCGCCGGCCTGGCGTCAGGGGCCGGCTGGATGCCCACCGGCTTGTCCTGGCCATGACGTGGTCACTTCTGACGGAAGAGGATAAAATGTACTCCAAAGAGGTAAATGGAGAGTCCAGAAACTACACTCTCGAGTTATTTACAGCGCTGCTAAACAGATGACTTTAAAAAACATCACCACTAAGAGTCTTCAGCAGAGCGGAGGCTGAGCTATCGAAAGCCACAGACGGAGCCCTGGAGTCCCGTGCAGGTTGAAAGGTAGGTTCCACCCCCTGCCCCCACCCCGAAATGCCACCTGTTAGTGAAACGTTTCCCTTGCCTGAGATGGGTCATCTCTCGGAAGCTAATGCATGCTGTACTTGGCGAGTGCAGTGACCTCTGTGCCTCAGTGTCCTGCTCATGGGATGGTTAAAAGAAAAGTTTAGAAAGATGCCGGGCCCGGAATGCCACTCGGCGCACGGAGTCCATTCTGAAGTCGCTGTGAAGGCGAAAACACACAAGAACAGGCAGAGTGTCTGCAGGGCAGCACAGGCAGGGCGATGCCCACGCTCACAGCAGCCTTGTGCAGAGGAGCCCGAGGCAGGACCAGCTCGACGGCCCCGGGCAGAGGAGCGGAGAGGCAGAACGTGGTCCCTCCCTACCACGGACTATTACCCTACGTTAAAATGGAAGGAAATTCGGACACATGCTACAACCGGCATCAATCTTGAGAATGTGATGCTGAGTGAAATAAGCCAGACCCTAAAGGACAAACATTATACGAGGCCCCTTGTAGGAGGTCCCTAAATAGAAAAATTCAGAGTCACAAAGTAAATGGTGGGGGTTGGGGTGGGGGGTGGGCTAGTGTTGAATGGGGACAGAGTTTGAGTTTAGGAAGATGAGCCCTGACCGGCGATGGAAAGTTCCGGAGCCGGATGGCGGGGACAGCTGCATAACAGTGTGACTGTGCTCAGGGCCACTGAGCCGTTCACTTAAACATGGCGAAACGGCCCCTTTCATGCGATGTACACTTCACCACAACATAAAGAAGTGCAAGGCGTTTAGGGCATCACTTACTGTACCAGGTAGCTGAACAGTGTATAAAGATCCAGTAATGTATCTGCGGATACTGACCTACGAACAGCAAACCAACAGACTGGAATTCAGGGTCCAGAAGACCAGCCTACGCAGGGAGAGGGTGTGAACAGGTGTACTGCCTGCCAGTGGGGACAGGGAGGGTTTCACCCAGGGACAACTATCAGCCATCTGGAACAACTCTCATTCTCGATATCCAACAGTTCCAAAGGGATCGCCGGTCTAATGATGAAAGCTGATCTAAGTTACTTGAAGAAAACACCGCAGGTTTTATTTCTAAAACTCAGAGAGACCAAGTCTTTTTGAAAGATGACAGAAAGCCCAGAAGCCCAGGGAGAAATGACTCTAAAATCCAACCCATAAATCAAGAAAGCGTCAGCATGGTCCAAGACCACCATAAACAAAGTCAGAGGGCAAAGGGAAAACGCAGAGTACTTGCGTCTCAAACCCACAGGAGCTAATACCGCACTGGAGAAACAGCCCCGGCTGGATGGACAGTTCGCCAAACAGGACAGAGAAATAACTCCTCTATGGAAAGATGTCCACCTCACTGTAATAAAGAATTCAAACTACCACAAGATACCATTTTTCACCTATCACACTGTAAAAAAAACAAAATCAACTTTAGTAAAGACGAAACTGGCAAGTGTGGGAAGAAGCAGGCCCTGCGGCAGGTCGTATTTATCAGTATAAAGCAAGTGCTAGCCTCGCCCCAGGTGTGCTGGTCACTTTCATGTGTCGCCTTGGCCAGGCAGCAGTACCCAGTGATTCAATCAAACACTAATCGAGGTGTTCTGTAGATGTGGTTAACATCTACAATCAGATGACTTTAATAAAGGAGGTCATCTCTGATCATGTGGGTGGGCCTCACCCAATCAGTTGAAGGCCTTACAAGCAAAATAGAAAGAAATCCTGCCTTTGGACAGCAGCTTCAACTCCTGCCCAAGAATCTCCAGCCGGCTTTTCCTGATGGCCTTCCTACAGACTTTGGACTTGCCCAGCCGGCCCCCACGATCCAGTAGCCAGTTCCTTGAAAAACACATTTCTTTTTTAAATCCTCACTTGAGAATATTTTTCCATTTATCTTCAGATAGAGAGAGAGAGAAACATTGATCAGTCGGTTGCCTCCCTCACAACCCCGATCAGGGCCAGGGCCTGAACCGCAACTGAGATACATGCCCTTGACCGGAATCAAACCCGTGACTCTTTAGTCTATGGCCCGACACTCTAACTGCTGAGCCAAACTGGCCAGGGCAAAATACATTTCTTTATCTACATATATCCTGTTGGTTCTGACTAATAACCAGGAACCTCATTTATACTTCAGATATATTATGTGAACAAGTCTATTCACTGCAACATCCCTGTGTTAGCAAAAGACTGGAAACAAACTATCAAGCCTATAAATAGGAAAATGGCTCAATATTCTTTATCCATAAAACGGGAGACTCGGCCCTTGATATAGAGCAAGGCAGCACCACCACGGGAACTTGCGGGACGATCTCCAAGGTAACAGGAAAGGAAGCAAGGCGCAGGGCAGGGAACTCTGCTAACCTCGGTGTAAACACAATTCGCATGTAGACACATACTGCGTGTTCACGTGTGCGTGTGCACGTGTCTGCCTCTGCTGCTCCCGGGGCGGGAATTGTGTGGCTCTGACGGGGTGGGTGGGAGACCCACTTTCCACTGTCACCCATTCTCTCTTTTGGATTTTGTGCATGTGCTGCGTTACCTACTCTAAGAGGTTCTACGGGGAAGGTGAGCAGACAGGCTGTAAGCTTCGCTGCAGGAGAAGCCAAGGGGCGCAGGTGTCCTTCCAGCTTGCCCTGCACTGGCTTCACTCACTGCAGCACGGTGTTCCCCTGGGAGCCCATATGTGGAATCTTGGGCCCCACTGAGACCTGTGGTCCACCCCTGCATCTCGACAAGACCCAGGGAGGTCAAGTTCGAGAAGCACTGCCTTGAGCCCATGAGTAGTGAAGCGATGGAGACACCGGTAGGCCAAGGGATTACTATTTGCTTTACCTATCCAGGTTGTTACCTAGCCTGGCGGTTCTGACTGAGCTGTGCAGGATGAATTCGATCACCCTTCGTATTATTCAAGGTACAGAGAAGCAACCAAAGCAAGTGTCTCCTTGAGTAGCTTCTATCTGGCGAGCCGCCGTAGTATCCCACTGTTGCGCTGAGGGATATACACACACTCACTCATCCCACTTAATATTCACTAGAAACCTATGAGGAGGTACCATTTTACAGAGAAGGAAGCTGAGGCTCAGAGAGGTTAAGGAACTTGGCCAGGGCCACACGGCCAGTCAACGCCAGATGTGAGTGGCCCTAAGCCACAACCTCTTCTTTGTCATCAGAAGTTAAGTTGCTTCTGTGGAGGGTAACAAAGGGCTGAAAGATGGAGTTGGCTGGTGAGCACCTTCTGGAGATAGTAAGACAGGAAATGAGACAAAAACCACTTTTCTGAGCCATGTGCAGACTCACCTGGCGGTAGGCCAAGAGGTGTTGGAAGATTTCAGCGAGGGAGCAATCTGAAGAGACTTGCTCAATTAAGCCCTTGCCTGATTTCTTCTTCTCCTCTAGTTCCTTCTCTTGGATCTTCTGCAGTGAAGTCCGATACTCCTGGTCCTGGCAGTAGACAATCTGCTCCATTTGGAAGTGAAGCCGGATGCATTTCTCGGCCTCTTTTTCTTGCTCTAGTCTAATGTCTTCAATTTTGGACTAATGCACAAGAGAAACACAACCAAGTCTCCCTCAAGAAATGAATCCCTGGGTCCCAGGAAAACAGGTTATATGCCAAGTCCACAGAATGAGGTTCTCTGACTTGAATTAAAACAGCATGGTGCATCGGGGCAGACTTTGCGCCCTGCCTTGGCTTACCTAAGAGGGGGTTCCCACCCTCCACAGAGGGTCAGAATCCCCTGAAGAGCCTGAACCACACATGTGACCAGACCCCTTGTCCCCTGAGCCTGAGGACAAGGAGCATATGTCCACCAGAGAGCTCCCCAGGATAAGATGAGGGACGAATTTAAGTCAGTGAACTCTCCTTTTTTGTTGTTGTTGTTCCTGGGATTTAGAGAAACTGACTACCTGAAATCCAGGGAAATCGTTCACACCTGGACCCCCCCCCCCCCTCACTGAGCGTCAGGAAATACAGCGCACACAGCAGGTGCGTCCTCCCCGCTTCCTTCCGTGTCCATCACAGCCTGCGGAGGACGGCACGTTCCCTGGAGCCGCTGGCCCAGGCAGCCCGAGCCGCCGCCAAGACCCGCCGCTGGTGCACGGCGGAGCCTGTCCCCTCTGTGCTGGGTGCTGGGGGCTGAATGCCTGTCCCCCAAGTGCATGAACTGAAATCCTAATTACAATGACGGTGATTGGAGGGAGGGCCTTTGGGACATCTAGGTCACGTGAGTGGAATCCCCTTTATAAAAAGACACCAGAGGTCCCCCCCAACACACACACACACACACACACACACACACACTGTCTTTTACCTTGGAGGTTCTGTAAAGATTGAGAAATTCCTCGTAATTTTTCTTGGAAACATTTGCGAAGGCATTCCGGACCATATCTGATGAAAGAAAGACAAAAAAGTGCAATATTGGTAGAATCATTCATCATCTTTATCAACTGCAGAAACCAGGAGGATAAAACACAGAACAACAAGAAGACAGTGTCCTCCGCCCCCCTCGTTCTTCTTGTTCCCGGAGGGAGAAAGGTGTGCTTTTCTGCTCAAGAGCTCCCAAGAAGAATTTTAAAACCCTGGCATACTTATTTGACATTTAAAGTTTTCATCCTAAGGATAAATAGTTAAAAAAGAATATGATTTCTATGTGTGTATATATATATATATAGACACACACACATATATATACACACACATATATTTATGTGTGTGTACACACACACACAAACAAATTACTTCTATGACTATAAAACTCTAAGTACAACATATTCTCTTTAGGAGTGGATTAAGAGGGCACGCCTGATCAACACAACACGACGACAGATTTTGATATATAATTATTAACACTAAAGGCAAAATTTCATTAGAAGTACATCTCTTAATGGGCTGTTAGGAGGCCACCCCCACAGTAATCTGTGAATGATTATCACTTATTGCTAAAACGAGAAGGTTAAAGCCTGCATGTGATGTCGCCGAGTGGACGGACAGCTGTGGTCACGCCCCAGAAAGCAAGGAGCGCAGCCTCTGAGGGGCAGGGTGGTCAATACCACGAAACGCTGCATTCGTCCCCAGCGGGCTGCTGAGTTTCCTGCCTACCGGTGACAAAGGTCATGCCGTCCCAAGAAGGCTGCAAACCCTCCTGTAATGCAGCTACTTAGTCGTCAACCTAGCTTCTCAGAGCTTTCAAATAAACAGGTGTTCTGAGACTGTGCAGTGGCCACAGTAGTGGGGCAGAGTGGAGGTCTGTTGTCCTAAGAAATACATATTTGGTCTTTGTCCCCGGTTCCTGACACACAGCTCCTAGATCCCTTAGAATGTCTTGGGAGATCGGAGAAAAACTGAGGACTCACCGGTGACATTGTGCAGCATGTCCACAGCGGGGTCTTCCAGGAGTTTGACCTGCTTTTTTATGATGGTCTCAAATGTCTTGTAATTCACAAATCCTGGCAGCTCTCTGCCACGATACCGATTTTCAAATATGTTGATCTGTCTAAGAATATCACCATAACCTACCATAGGAAAGAAAAGCTTTGAATTATTTTACAAAAATAATGTTGCAGGTTTTTCTAGACACGATACCATTCTGGACTTTCTGAACACACAGAGAGGCAAGGGGAAAACATCAAATCGGATCTGCAAACCATCAAATAATCAGGGGTGGCAATACAGAGACAGCTCTGAACACACTTTTCCTTGCTCTTTGGAAAGCAAATGGAGAGCTGGGCATAATGCCAGGAGGCAGTCAGTGCAGACCTATCCTTAAATAGGTACCTGAGTATGAGACTTTGTGAATCCAATTTGATTTTTACCAAAGCAATTGTATCATAATAGAGTATCATGAATTGGGCCCAGCCAGTGTGGCGCAGTGGTTGAGCTTCGACCCATGCACCAAGAGGTCGCCGGTTCAATTCCCCAGTCAGGGCACATGCCCAGGTTGTGGGCCCAATCCCCAGTGGGAGCGTGCAGGAGGTGGTCAATCAATATTCTCTCTCATCGATGTGTCTATCTCTCTCCCTCTCCCTTCCTCTCTCTCTAAAAGCAATAAAGAAAAATAAGTAAAAAGCAGGATTGGCCATGAACACCAACCAAAATCAGTGAGCATCACTCACGTGGGTCCCATGAGTAGGAGGCGTGCACGGGTCGGGTGGGACCCAGAGTTCCCCGAGGAACATGAGATCACATCAATGGTATCACTGTTCACTAGGTAAAGACCACTCAGTGTTTTCTTTATGCTTTTGGAATTCTTTTACTCTTAACATACTAGACTGTGGAGAAAAACACCCCCATTGGGGGAGGGGGAATTCAGCAGGGCTCTGGCTCCTCTCTCTGAAAAACTAACCAGGGATGGTAGCCTAGGTACCTTTTCTAGGTCGGGAGCTAGTTTCTCACAGGGAAAGTTAAAAGTGAGATACAACTCATAGGTTATAAAAGTCACTGCATCAGAGTGTACAATTCAGTGGTTTCAGTATATTCACAAAGGTGTGCAATGATCACCACTCTCTAATCTGCAAACATTTCCATCGCTCCAGGAACCTGTACCCATCAGCAGTCACTCCCCCGCCCTCCTCGGCCCCAGAAACCACCGCTCTCTGTTCTGTCTCTCTGCTTTGCCTATTCTGGACATTTCAGATGCACCAACTCATGTGTGGGACTATGTGTCTCATGTCTTTCACCTAGCATGTCTGCAAGCTTCATCCATGTTGCAACCATGTCAGTCCTTCATGCCTTTCCACAATGGAGGAATATTCCATTGTATGGTATCAGAGTCCCCCAAATTAACATGTCGAAGTCCTACCCACTGATACCTCAGAGCGTGGCTGTATTTGGAGGTAGGGAGCTTAAAGATGTAACTGATTTGAAATGAGGTCATTAGGGTGGGCCCTACTCCAATATGACTGGTGTCTTTGTAAGAGATGAGGACATGAATGTGCACAGAGAGGACACGCGAGGACACAGGGAGAAGGCAGCTGTCTGCATGCCAAGGAGGGAGACCTCAGGAGGAACGAACCCTGCCCACCTGGATCTTGATCTTCTAACCTCTAGCATTGTCAGAAAATAAATTTCTGTTGCTGGATATGACACTCAGTCTCTGGCACGTTGCTGTGGTAGCCCACGCAGGCAAATATACATGGATTTACCATATTTCCTTCATCCACTCATCAGCTGATGGGTATCTGGGTTGTTTCTGCTTGTTTGGCTCTTCTGAGTAATTCTGCCTAGAAGATGCATCTACAAAATTGTACGTGAACATGTCTTCATTCTCTTGCATGTGTACCCAGGGGTGACATTGCTGGGTCACATGGTAACGGCATGTGTCACTGCGAGGGACTGCCGTCGTATTTCTCAGAGTCGCTGGGCCATTTACATTTTCTCCAGCAATGTAGGAGGGCTCTCATTTCTCCACATTGTCAACCTTTCTCATCCGCCTTTCTGATGATAGCCATGCCAGGACGTGCGAGGTGGGATCCCACTGTGGGTCGGACTTGCAGTCCTCTGGTGGCTAATGACATCAAGCCTCTCTTCATGTGCCTACTGGCCACCTGGATAGCTTATATTTTTGGAGGAATGTCTATCCCAAGTTTTTGTCCATCTCTAAGTGGAATCATTTGTCTTTTTGTTGTTGAGCTGTAAGAGTTCTTCATATATTCTGAATACTAGACCCTTATCAGATCTATAATTTGCAAATATCTTCTCCCATTCTGTGACATGTCTTTCTACATTCTCGACAGTGTCCTTTGACACACACAAGCTTTTAATGTTGATGCCGTCCAGCTTATCGACGTTCCCCTTCTTCCTTGCCGTTAGGCACCCCAGCTGAAAACCGTTGCCTCGTCTAAGGTTACAACGAGTTAAAGCTATGTCCTTCCGAGAGTTGTATACTTTTAGCGCTTCCATTCTAGTTTTTGATCCATTTTGAGTTCCTCTTTGGTTGGGGGGTGAGTCGGGGGTCCAAATTCTTTGGCTCGTGGGTATCCAGTGATGTGCAGCTGATAGTTTGCTGGGAAGAAGTTAGCCTTTAAAACCAGAAGCTCCGTCCTCCCAGGCTGCACGCTGCAAAGGCTGATGCTGTAACAGGCTGGCAGAGCGGCGCGCGCAGGGGGGCTGAAGTCGGGCGCCGAGCTCTTCCTTGAAAGGGGTAGCAAGGTCCCCTTCTGACGTGGGGACACACACGGCAGGCGGCCGACGATCTGCTCTGCGACCTCCTCGGAATGAGCTTCCCTGTGTCAGGACACGGTTGCCCACCCCTTCGTCCTCCATTCCTCTGCCAAGGAGCAGATGGGCTCAGAGGTGTGGCCTAGAACTGTATACAGAACTGCACGACTTACTGTCCCACGTGCATCACTCAAAGCCAGGAGACTGTCCGTGTGCACGTCTGCTCAGCTGAAATAAGTTGTGGAACTCCACCGTGTTGCTTGAATAAAAGCGAAAGTCTTTGAAATTTCCCGCAGCTGCTACAGCTTTATTGTCGGCCAATATATGATTTTCCTTTAGGCCTCTTGAAATACTAAAAAATAAATTTCAGTCCAGCCAGTGTGGCTCAGTGGATTGAGTGTCATCCTGTGGACTGAGAGGTCCCGGTTCAATTCCAGGTCAGGGCACGTGCCCGGGTTGCAGGCTCGATCCCCAGTAGGGGGCGTGCAGGAGGCAGCTGATCAATGTTTCTCTCTCACGTCAGTGTTTCTCTCTCTCTCTCCCTCCCTTTCTCTCTAAAAAAATTCAATAAAAACATATTTTAAAAAACAAAATAAATTTCAGACTGCATTTCCTGCCATTCTCCGACTCTTGAGGACTTGAAGCTGCAAGGTTGCTGTGACTATTAGGCCCAGATGCATCCGGCTTCAGGAACTTGGCCAGTGAACCCGGAGGCACCGCGGCCACTTCCCCGTTTCTTACACTCAGAGCACCACACACCTGCTCGCAGACACGCTCGTGCTTCCAGAAGCCTCTTCCAGCGTCCCGAGCAACAGGTGCTCGCTGGCTTGCGTTCCATGACGTGGAATGGAGCGAAGGTGACCCTCACACTAAGTCCTCATGGCCACTGCCCTCGCCAACCGCATCGCCTGCTCCCCGGTCCTGCGCCCCCGCCCACGCGGGTGTGCCCTGGTGTGTTGGACTCACCTTCCCGGAAGTTTTTTTCAATCGTTAGGCTCCACTTGTGGAACTCGTTCCGGATCTTGGTGAACAGCCGACTACTGTTCGCCTCCACGGACTCCTCCCCTCCTACTAAAGCGAGGATGTCCTGATTAAACGAATTAATTTTCTGTGAAGAAGAAACACAGGAGCTATTTCAAACACAAGCGCCGAGGGGTGTGCAGAGCGCACGTAGGCGGAGGGTGGGTGAGACGCTGTTTGGTGCCCACGGGCATGGGGGTAACGGGAAAGGGGAGGCTTGGGCACCCGCCCGCCCACTTTCCCATAAGGCCTTCGGGGCTTGGGTGAGTCACATGATGAAGAATCAAGGAACATGTGACTGTCCACACTACCCCCTCCTCGCCCCCTGCCCCCGACCCCGGCCCCTTTCTGGTGCTCAGCGGGCAGAGGCACCGGCCCGGTTCATACACTCCACGTGTGATTCTTCAACGCGATGCCACGGGCCGTACTCACGTCGATCAGAAAGAACATTTTTTCACTTTCGTCTTGGGGAATGTCCGTGCCGTACTTCTGTAACTGCTCCGACACGCTCTGCTGGAGCTCCTTCATCTGGTTTTCTAACAGGGGCAGAGTTCTCTGGGGAACAGAGAGCGGAAGGGATGGGAATACAGAAACATGGGCAGGGAGTGAGAAGTGGGGCCCGGGCCTCCTTCTGCCAGGTGCAGGGCAGCTGAGCAGTATTTCTGACGTCCTGGCTCCCTCTAGAAAGATTTCCCAGAAGCTAGGGACTGTTTCCCACCCAGGCCTGCCACTCTCCCCTCCTGGGCAAATGGCTCAGAGCCAAGGCCACCCTTTCGCACGGTTCCCAGGCCCTGTAAAAGCAACTTGTCTGGTGGGTTCTGCAACGGTGGCAGGTGCAACGGTCAGACGCAGCAACGTCCACATCGTCCAGGCATGAACAGTGACCAGGCACTTCTAGATCTAACCCTAGGGCTGACTGCGCATGCGGGCTCAGTCTTTCACTGAGAACACCTGAAAACGTGGCTAAACGTCTCGTGCACCCCTTTAAATGTGCCATGGAATACCCGGCCACGGAATGCCCGGCCAGCGTGGCTCAGTGGATTGAGCATCATCCCATAGACTGAGAGGTCCTGGTTCGATTCCCAGTCAGGGCACATGCCCGAGTTGTGGGCTCGATCCCCAGTAGGGGGCGTGCAGGAGGCAGCTGATCAATGTGTCTCTCTCACCTCAGTGTCTCTCTCTCTCTCTGTAAAAAAATCAATAGAAAAAATCCAGACACTCAGAAGCCAACCCCGGTGACAGTGGGTGCCCGCGGGTTGAGGGGAACAGCAGTGAGGCCAGACTGGCCTCAAGGGCATTTGTGGGAGAGAAAACCTGAACCCGCCTGACTTGGTGCTGAGGCAAAGGAGAAGCCCCCGTGGGCTTGTTCTAGGTGGGGATCTAATGGACAGAACCTCCAGCTCAGAAGCTAAGTGGTTCAAACTGGGAGCCTTCCCAGGTGTCTGGCAGAAGCCAACACTGCCCCTCCCTGAAGAGACCCCCCGGGGACCCAGGCTTCCATAAATAACCACCGATCAAGTTCCAAGAAAGACAGCTCATAGTCAAAATGCTGGCCCAAGTCATTGTGGGTGACAGCCAGCAGAACCCAGCACACCAGGCTTCCGACGCTGGAACGGTCAAGGTTGAGACACCACCGAATTAAGTGCAAAGACATCTTTTTCAAAGGATTGAGAATGTGGAAAAGCAAGAGACTGGACAGACTGGCAAAGAACCGGCGAGATTTAAGAAACGAAATACAATCATTACAATCACCGAGGCGAGTGGACAGTGGTCGGCGGCGAGAAAGGCAGTTAGGACAGTGCTCAGAGGTTTGGGCTTGTAATTCGGCCACGTGGACACCGTCTATTAGTATCCCGCTCAACGCGTGGTCTTTCTGACAAACACCACACACGACCTGGGCCCTCTCCAGAAATGGGGAGTTTCAGGCCACGCTCCAGACCCACTGAAGCTGGGCCTGTTCTTCACGTGATGCCCGGTAGTTCCGTGTGCAGGCTGACATCTCAGCCGTCGCCACGGTTCAGCTCTGCCTGTGGGAGTCTACCCAGAGCGCGGGCCGCCCTCCCTGTGCTTACACAGATGTGTTCGATGAGCTCGGTGGTCAGTCTTTCCGCCAGGCAGGGGATCGTGGCTCTGCCCTCCTCCAGCAGATCCCTGCAAGAGAAGACAGCATGAAGGCCCATCTCGGTGTGGCCACAGGGGCAGTCAGCTTTGTGTGGCTGGGGACGTCACCGCGAATCCAATGGAGGGACTGTCCTCCCGCCGGTAGGTCCCCCTCCGATGTTCAGAACTGCAGCGTATAGAATTCTGACTGCATTTTGGTAAATTCAGATCATTCAAACATGGTATAGAATGGCCCCTTCCAGCTGATACACGACTTGTGTCTTTACAATCACCTATAGATGTTTTCATCACACACAGACACACCCTTTTGTGGGTCCACATGTATATCTAATGCATATCGGCATAGGGCTTCATAAAACTATATCGACCCATATTTACAGAGGTGTGAGGATGAACACTGGGCCAGGGGACACACTCTTCCCCGGGACGAGAACTGAACCGTGGCTGCTTGGAGGAAGGAAGGCAAGCCCTCTTCTCACTCAATCCAAATCTGTGTTCCCAGGGGAGTTAGTACAGGGTTATGACATGGCGGTCAATTTCTTAGGATAAGAGGCAAAGAGCAGGAGTTGACATGGCTGGTTGTGAGATTACACACAGACCCGAGTTTCAGTTTCGACTCCTGTCAATTTGCCTAATTGTTGTAAAATACACACCACATGAACCATTAAGGGCACAGCTCAGTGTTACTCCTCATTGCCGTGCAACCACCTCCACCATCCGTCTCCAGAATGTTCCATCTTCCTGAACGGAAACGCTGTCTCCATCAACGCGAACTCCCAGCCCCCTCTTCCGGCCCCTGCACCTGCCATCCCACACTGTCTCTATGCATATGAGCACTCTAGGGACCTTTTATAATCTTACGGTATTGTCTTTCTGTGACTGGCTTACTTCACTAAGTGTAAAGTGCTCAAGGTTCGTCCATGTTGCAGCAGGTGTTCGAATGTCCTTTTTAAAGGCTAACTTTCCATCATCGGGGTAGACCCATCTCAGTCAGCTATTCATCCATCAATAGACACTTGCGTTGTTTTGCCCTTTGGCTTTTGTGAATAGTGCTGCTGCCACAGAGTTATATACCTGTCAACTCTGAACAGGACCCTCCACAGGCTTTGGGGAGAACTGACTGTAATGCACACGGGGTTCCACCTGCATACACATGTGCACACAAGGGGCCTCACAATCCCATAAGCACCTTTGCGTTGGCATCTCATTGGCCTGGTACCAAAGCACCATGCAGAGGTCGTGGTGCAGGCTCCCAGCTGCAGGGCAGAGGGCCAGGTTCCTCCTTCCCCACCAACTCTGCATCTTCTCAGTCATTTAAATCTAACCGATTTATCAGTCTCTTCCTTGTTAAAAAATTTGCTTTTGGCATTAACATTAGAATGACCTTTCGCCTGGGATTCTAAACTCTCCATCTATAAACTACCACTGATATTTATTTTGGTGTAACGTGTTCAGGGCACAATGTAACTTTTCTACCCAAACATTAAATAATTTTCTCAATGCCACTGATTAACAATCAAAGTAATAGAGCCCACGGATTTGAAATGCCACATTTATCACAAATCAAATATATGTATCTGTGTCTATTTTTGGATTTTCTCTTTGTTGTATTTATGTTTCTCCTATTTGTTGTATTTATGGCGTTTTTTTCTCTGTTCATTGGATTATTTTTTTTTTTCCTATTTGTTGTATTTTTCCTAGTTGCTATATTTATGTTATTTAATCCGGTTCCAGCACCATACTATTCAAGTTATTATAGCAGGCTCACTCCTTAATTTGATTTTTTACAAGTTATTTTTTTGCCATGCATGTGAATTCCTCCACTGTTCTTCCAGGAAAATCCCAAGGTCACTGTCAAGAAACAGACACACTCACACACAATATCTGCTTTCGGAAAGCGGCAGTTGTCCCGGGGAGGACGGAGGTCCTCGGTCTGGATGTGACCTTGGGAAAACAGAGCTGTCCTTACTTGTAATGTGGATGGTTCTCGAAGAACTCCCTCTCTTTGTGCAGGGCCTGGGGCAGGCTCAGCTGGTCCTGAATGTCCTGCTGGCCTCGGCACTTGACGATCATGTAGCCCTTTTTCAGGTGGTAGACAAAATTTCGCACCACGTCAACTACCTTGTCTTCCGTGCCTCTGTCCACCAGGTCGGGCTTTGTGAGGATTCCTGCGACCAGAGCCTTCCAGTTAGAGGCTACTCACAGCTTCACTGGAGTGAGGAGACAGCTAACCCACCTGGGAGAGGACAGGCCCGGCCACCGGCTCCCTCCCAGCCTTGCTTGAGGGCAGACGGCAGGGCCTGCAGAGCTCAGGTGCAGGCACAGAGCGTCCCTCTTCCCCATCTGACTGCGTCCCCATTGACACTCGCCCCAGCTCCTCTGCCAGCCCCCGGCACCCTCCGTTCTACTTTCTGTCTCTATGAATTTGACTCCCCTAGGGACCTAATATATGGGTTTTTTTTGTCCTTTGTATCAACCTATTTCACTTAGCCAAATGTCTTCAAAGTCCATCCATGTTGTGGCACATGTCACAGTGTCCTTTCTTGCCATCTCAAATTCACTGTTAACTGACGTAACTGCTTTCCAGTTTTGCCCTGACCTCGGAGCTCACCATGCCTTTTACAAGCAGGTAGGCAAGGGCTCGGAGCCAACTTGCGGCCAACAAGAGTCAATGTGACCCATGTCATCAGGACTCAGTGGGCCCCACACCTGACACCGTAGCAGTTCTCGTCGACTGGGTGCAGGCCCCCTACCCTGCGTGTGTCCCAACAAACATCCATTTGGATTCAAGGATCCCTTTTCCACTCTCACACCATCTACCGATTTTAGGCTCTTCCCTCTCCTCACCTATGGTCCTGTCTCCTTCGGGGTCCACCTCCTGAGCCATGCTCAGCGCCTCTGTGGTGGCGATGTCCATGTTACTGGGCACCACCACCAATATGATGGTCTCTTGCTTCTTGATGTACTTCTGGATGAGTTTCAAAATCTGTAAGAAAATGAGCGGGTGTGAGAGTTGAGATAGATCCTGACCTTGTACTTGCTTCAGGCGCTTGGAGTCCCAGGGGTATCCCCCCCACCCCACCCCAACCAAATGAGCCCACAACCCAAAGCCAGAGTTTGGAGAAACAAAGTTCTCTGTGGCAAAAAGAGCTCTGGGGTCAGGGAATAGGAAGGTTTTCACTCATTAACCATCTCCTGTGAAAACCTCATGTCTGATGGTCACCAAAGACAGGACGTCACGAGAATTGTGAGTCCTCCCCAAATCATCAGTCTACAGGGCGAGAGTCACTGATATGGAAATATCACTATATTGTTTCCAGTGCTCTCTCTCCCCACATTAAGATCCTTCTCTAACACATGCCAGTTAAGATAGGCCAGAAAATGTGACTATAACCAAAGATGAGTCATTGTACAAAACTAAACATATAAAACATATTTCCAATTTTACCTGTTGGCCTCATTGTCTCCAGATAAGACTCCACCAGACTTGAAGGAGGAAATTGCAACCAGTATGCTCTTCAAACTCTCTGCTCACACCACCCAATATCCACCCACCCTGCAACCTCGGCTCTGAATTCACTGTGGCTCGATCGCAGCCTCCCTTCCCCACAGGACTAAGGTCAGAATGGAGCCTAGAATTTCACCTGACGTCCAATGTCAGCTGGCTGATTGCCCACCGCCACCCGGGTGATGCCAGGAAGGTCTATCAGGGTCAGATCCGGCACATGAGGGGAGCTGACCTCCAGAGTAATGAGCTCCTGGCTGATTCCCACACCTTCTCCAGCAATGACAACCTGGGCTAGAGGAGAGGAAAAAAAGAAAAACCGAATAGCACTGTGGAGTTGGGGGGTTGGATGATGGATGATTTGTACCTTATGTTACTGCATTCTCACCATCTGGCCAGCCCAGGTGCAATTGAGTGCTTCATTTGCATGGGAATAAGATAAGGCTTGCATGGGTGGACTAATGGGTCCTAGAACTCAAGAATGTCTGTGTTTATTACCTTTTAGTTTCAAAGCCTCTTTCTGCAAAAAACAGCAGGAGACAAGGCTAGGCTGTATAGTTTACAGAGCCGCCATTTCAAGGAAATAATTTACATAAATCCACATGTAACCTGGGGGAACTGATCTGCAAATAAATGGGACTGCATCCAAAGATCTGGAGCGTTTGCTCCCTTGCAAAGCTCCCCCTCACTCCAAGCAGCATGTGCTTGTACTATCATTGTTGCACCGATCCCAGCCCGCCGAGAATGGGCGTAGCACTAGGATGGAAGTTACTCATTACAGCGAATCTTCTGAAAGCAACACCTTCCAGGCACTTTTATACCTTCCCCAAATGACTGAAACATAATTATGTGATATGCTAGGAAGAAATTAAAGTCACTAAGGAGAAGTTACCTATTTATCTCAATCACAGCAACTCGCTGTGTTACTCCTTTGTCTTTATCAACTTCCAGTGGGATTTCTCCCTTTGGATGTTTCCAATTAATCAAACGATCTCTGTGGTTTACATTTACTGAGACCCGCCATACATTAGCCTAAACAAGGATTCTGCTCCTGGTGGAGAGACCTAGCCCCATGCTTCTTCCATCAGGTCTGTGGAGAGGGAAAGCCCTTGGATAAAAAAGACCCTCAATCTTTGGAGACAAGTTTTAAATTTTAAAATCCACATCATTTCCAGATACCTGATCACATACTAAGCAACAAATTATTGAGGTCAGAATCTGTCCCAAAGCACTGGTCTTACGTAGGGAAACTAAGATAAAATACAAGGGAGCTAGGGCCCGAAGAGCAGGAGGGAGGAAGAGAGGATGGGTTCTCAGGGGCTCAGGGCAGACCCCAAAAGGAGAGCGTGGGAACAGTGACAAGCAGACCCCACTGACTTCACATGGTTCGACCTGCCCTCCCAGTAGATGAGGCTGAACGACCACGGAGTACTTACCTTTCCTGATCGCCTGTTCTACCTCCGAAGCATCTGAAATGTCCAACTCAGTGTCCCAGTAACTGACTTTGCCTTTCCATTTATCTTCTTGCCCAAGTTTCCTCAGCTTCAGCACCAAGGGGCATCTTGTAACAATACCTAGGAGGCCATGGGCACATCAGTTCCATACTCTGCTCTTAAAAGTTCTACAGGGTGGCCTCAGACCAGTGGTTCTGAGACCAGTTTTACAGACTCCGGGAGGCTGCCCACACGGCTAATATTCTGGTCTCACCCTCTGATACGCTGATGCAGAAAGTCTGGGGTGGTCTCAGGAGTATGCACTTGGAATATACGTCTGAGGTGATGTTTGGCTCCCTAACTCTGAAAGCCACCATTTGAAGCATCTTGCTTCATCCCAGTGTTTTGTCACCAGCTCGGGGTAAACAGCAGACGTAGGCAAACATCCTCCACTCTCCCTAATACACACAGCGCTCCTGTCAGAGAGGCGTGCTGCTCCCACCAGGCCACCTTCCTATGAAAGCCTTCTCCATCCCACCTCCGCCCAGATCCGAAGCACGTCCGAGACCCATCTCAGGTCTGTCTGCGTCCTGTGAACCCTCACTGATACCCTTGGCCTTGTAGCTCAGACAGCACCACTGACCGGAGAACCGATCTTTACCTCCCAAACGGAGGGTCAGCTCTTGGGAAGAAGCTCCAGAAAGACAACCCCATGCACAGGATTCTGGGCTGGGGACCCGTGTGTATTTACTCAAGACCTCCCACAAACTACGGGTTACATATACACCACACAAAAATGTGCACCGGGTGGGTATTATGGACTGACGTGTGTCCCCCTCAAAAGTTCCATGCTGAAGCCCCAGTCTCTGATGTGACTGCATGGGAAGATAGGGCCCTCCCTTAAAGAGGTGATGAAGGTTAAATCAGGTCCTAAGGGTGGGACCGTAACCAATGTGACTGGCATCCTTATAAAAAGAGGAAGAGACACCACACATGTGCACACACAGGTCATGTGAGGACGCAACTAGAAGACAGTCACTGGCACAAGGAGAAAGTCCTTGGGAGAAACCAAGCCTGCTGACACCTTGATCTTGAACTTCTAGCCTCCAGACTGAGAAGTTCAGTTGCTTAAGCCGCCCAGCCTGCGGTAGTTTGTACGGCAGCCAGAGCTGGCTGACGGGGCCAGTCCTTACCGCTGCCTCTGGGCAGGGCGACGCCCGACAGAGCCTCCAGCACCGAGCTCTTGCCCGAGCTCTGGTCCCCGATGACGGCGATGGCGGGCAGGGCCAGGTCCTGCTCCACGCCCAGGGCGCGCAGGGAGTCGATGAGGTCGATGCAGGGGCGCACCTTCTCCTCGTACTGGTTGTACAGGCTGTTCTCCGCACTCTGGACAAAGCAGAATCGGAGACTTTTGTCATGGCTGGAAGGTCATGTTCCATCAAAGGTGGAACTGGCCTAATACACAGATTATTTAAGTTAGCGAAAGAGAGTGGGAGGGAACGGAAAAAAATTTTTTAAGAAATAATAAATAAAATTTTCCCAAACTTGATGAAAACTATTAACTCAAAGTTCCAAGTAACTCAATGAACCCCAAGCACAAGAAACATAGTAAACTACATCAATCTAGCCAAATTGTTCAACAACAGCGATACTGAGAAAATGTTTAAGCAGCCAGAGACTGGTTTTGTTCAGTAGTTAGAATATCAACCCATGGACCGAAGGTCACAGGTTCGAGTCTCTGGCAAGGGCACACACCTGGGTTGCAGGTTCTATCCCCAGCCCCCGTTGGGGTCGTGTGGGAGGCAACCAATCGATGTGTCTCTCACATTGATGTTTCTCTCTCTGTGTCCCTCCCCCCCTTCCACTCTATCTAAAAATCAATGGAAAAATATGCTTGGGTGAAGATGAACAACAACAACAAAATTAAAGCAGCCAGAGAATGGCATATTATATACAGAGGAACATAGATGGTATTTCAGCAGATTTCTCACCAGAAATAATGTAAGTAAAAAGACAGTGGAGCAGCACTTTTAAAGTACTGAATATATCTTTCAAAAACGCAGGTGAATTAAAGACTTTTTCAGATATAGCAAAGGGGAACACACGCATCACAGGCAGACCTGCACTGCCGAAAACATCAGAGAAAGTGTTTGCTTGCAGCAGCCGGGAAATGGAACTGAATGGAAGTCACAGGGATCTAACCAGAAAAGGTAACTGCTATACTTTTTAAATCACTTAGATATATTTAAAAGATATTTGACTGAACAAAAATAACAGTATATTGTGGGGTTTGTAATATAGGTAAAGTTAAAATTCATGACAAAAAATAGTATAAAGGCTGAGAGGGGAGACATGAGAGCATACTATTGTAAGGCTCTTGTATTAAACATGAGGTAGTATACTACCCCTCGAAGGTAGACTTGATAAGTTAATGACGTTAAGTAGAGATGTTAAAATAGTTCTGCTTGATAAGCCAACAAAGAAGATAAAATGGAATCATAAAAAATACTTGATTAACTCCAAAGAAGGTAGAAAAAGAGAAAAGAAATGAAGAACAGATAAGGTAAATAGAAAATAAATAGAAAATGATCTTCTCAATTATTAATATTAATAATCACAATAGACATAAATGGTCTTAATACTCCTAGAACAGTCAAAATGACTTTGAAAACAAAGAACAGAGTTGGAAGCTCACATTACCATATTTCAATAATTGTTATCAAGCTTCAGTAAGCCAAACAATGTGATACTGGTGTACAAATGAAGAAAGAAGTCAATAGAACAGATACATATTCCAGAAACAAACTGACACACATACAAACAACTGATTTTTGATAATTCAAGGATGATATAGTAGAAAAAGGATATGCTTTTCAGAAAATGGTATTGGGGTAATCAAATTATCAACATGCAAAAAACACCCCACCTTGTATCTATATATCACACCATATACAAAAATTAACTCACAATGGATCATAAACCTAAATGCAAACTTCAAACTACAGAACTTCTAGAAGAAAAATCTCTGTGACTGTGGATTACGTTATGGTTTCTGAGGTATGGTTCCAAAAGCAAAATGCATACAAGAACCAACTGACAAATAAGACTCCATCAAAATAAAAACACTGGATGTTTAAAAGAGGCTGTTATGAGAAAATTTCATATATGGGAAACACTGACTAAGTTCAGCAGAAAAGGGTGTATACCCTGGCAAGGACTCCCTCAACCAACCTTGAGTAGGGCTCCCTTAAGCCCGGTCCTCAGCCTGCTGCTAAGCTGGTCCATCCAGAATTCCTCACCTTTGATAGCTAATCAAGTTCCTCCCCAACCCCCTCAACCCTAACCAAGTTCCTCTTAGTATTTCTCCTTCCTCTTTTCCACCCCTCTTGCTGGCTGTAAACCCCAGTTGTCCTTGCATTCCACACTGACCTCACTCTCTCTCTTCTATTGCAATGGTCTTGAATAAAATCGCTTTTGCTGTTTTGTAACAAGTGCCCAGTGCAGTTTTTCTCCATAACACTTCAGAAAGGTGTGGAGCACACTGTGCAGGGAAAGCCCATTGACCGTGAGTAGCCTCAGTACCAGGTCCCCTTACAGGCTCTTTTGGTTTCATTTCATCATCCATCCACGAGAGTGTATAAGAAATGAATAATTAGCAAATATGCACGTGCCAACCACCTGGGTTAAGAAAACACATATTCCCAGTACTTAAGACACTCCATCACCCCTCCCTAGTCACCTTCCTATTATCCCTTCACCCCCAGAGGGTCCTTCTACCCCGAGGCTTGTGATAACCATGTATTTGTTCTTCTTCAGAGTTGTGCCACCCGTCCATCTTTCCCTAAACCATACACTGCTTCTTGTTGCCTGTTTTGGAACTTTATATAAATGGGATCACACTGTACATTTCTTCTATGACTTGATTCTTGGGTTCACCACTGCTTTTTAGACGCAGTCATCTGGTGCCTGGAACTCGAGTTCATTCATTGTCACCGCTACATAGAATTATGCTGCATAAGCACACCACAGTCTCCGTGTGCACTCCATCACTCGTGGGCACTTGCGTTGGCTTTGTGTTTTGCTATTATAAACAATGCTGTTAGGATCATGACTCTCAGGGAGAGCAAGCAAGAGTTTGCATAGCAGCTCTCAAACTTTAGCACCACGGAGAATCATCTGGAGGGCTTGTTAAAGGCCCCCTCCCGGGTTTTAGTTCTCCAGGTCTGGGGGAGGAGCGTGCGGAGGTGTGATCATTTGCATTTCAAACATCATTTGCATGATAGCATCCCAGGGAACGCTGATACCACTGGTGTGGGGACTGCACTTGGAGAACCAAAGTCTACAGCTAAAAGTAGAATTGCCAGATCACAAGACACACTCTGTTCAACTTCCTGGAAAGGGCCAGGCTACTTCCAAGCAAGTGGGTGTGAGCTGTGTGAATTCCTACTGCCCCATACACCACCAGTTACAGCCAGGCCAGAGAGAGTTGTATTAGGGAGGTGGAAAGATGGATGGACCTTTTTATTTTTCTATGATTTTCAACATGGTTTTTAATGTTGTTCAAAAAACTGATAGCAATGATCATGAGCATGGAGTCTACTTGAAAGAAGCTGATGATCCGTGGCTTTAACACCTGTAATAGCAAGAAAAGGAGCTTTTCCTAAGTGCCCAAGAGGCCTGATTCATGCTCTCAACAGCCACATGAAGTAAATCCTATTTATTATCCTCTAAAAGATGGAAAACAGGCTTACAAAGGGAGGTATGACCCCAAGAGCATGCATCTGAAAGTGTCATTGTTAGGAGCGAAGTTAGACTGGATGGATTCCAGAAGCCAAGTTTGGTTCCTCACAAAAATATGTCTTGATTCTGGGAAAAAAGTGATGCCACAGGGCTACCCTGTGAGGGAATGTCGTGATGACACCTCGGAGGGTTGCAGCCTGAGCCTGAATCTTGGCACGGGCAGCCGGTAACAGGCTCCTAGGCCAGGGCCCAGGCCAATTCCTACACGAGCCAATCCGCATCTTGCCTGGCTTCCCGGGCCACAAGGGTACTCCACCCAACATCAGCTGAGGCGAAAAGTCTCCATTTGGTTACAAGTAGGGCTCAAGCCACAGGATTCACACCCGCACCCTGCTCCAGGAGAGGGAAGGAGCTGGCCTCTCCGCCCACATTCCCCACTCCCCCCACCCCACCCCCGGGAAGCCCGCACAGGGACACGGCTCCCAGCCACACGGAGAGTGATTTGCAGGCAACAACTCACTGTTTCCAGATTTTTCTCTGAATTATCAGCATTTTCATTCGGTGACTGGAGATTGGACGCAAAGGATGCATCAAGATCTGTGAGTCCCATGTTAGAACTACCTTCTTCCTTCATCAGTTCCACCTTAAAATCAAGCAGAGCAGAAGGAACACACATCAGATGCCAGGTGCGTGCACCACACTTGACTGGCTGAGACAGAAATGACGGGAGGACCCCACGGAAGCAAATGTCAGTGGTCTTCACGAATATGCTTCCAGACCCCAACTGATTATTTTTAACTAGATATTTCCTGTCACATTTTTAGGTTGACCATCAAAAATTTTTTCACCACAGGCCAGCCACTGTGGCTCAGTGGACTGAGTGTCGTCCCAGGGACTGAGAGGTCCCGGTTTGATTCCCAACCAGGGCACGTGCCCAGGTTGCAGGCTCGATCTGCAGTGGGGGGCGTGCAGGAGGCGGCCAAGGGATGTTTCTCTCTCACATCCATGTTTCTATCTCTCTCCCTTCTTTTCTCGCTAAAAAAAAAAAATCAATAAAGACATGTTTAAAAATATTTTTCACCATAAATTCAGAGTGGCAAAGAATAAAATTTATGACGTATTTTTTCATTTACATTTAAAATTAAAACTATGATAGAACTCATTCTAATGTAGCCGAAGGGATCTAAAAATGGTAATTTGATGTCCAAACCTATAGTTTAAAAAAAGATATGAACTCCAAGTCATTTATTCTGTCCCTTTTGATCCTTGATTTCATATTTTCATTCCATTTTTCCCACATAAGTGTATCTTAATGTTGTTCATTTTATTTTTGAAAGTATTTATTTATTTATTTATTTATTTATTTATTTATTTTATCCTCACCCGAGGACATTTTTCCATTTTTTGTACAGATAGAGTGGGAGGGAGAGAGAGGAAGGGAGAGAGAGAGAGAAACATCGACGTGAAGGGACACATCGAGTGGTTGCCACCCGCACGACCAACCAGGGCCGGGGACAAACTGCAACCGAAGTACGTGCCCTTAGCGGGAACCGAACCCGGGTCTCTCCGGACCGCAGGCCGACGCTCTAACCGCTGAGCCAAACTGGCCAGGGCTATTTTTGAAAGTATTTAATTGACCACTTTATCATACTTGTCTGCCTCCAAAAATATATATGCATATATTTGAAATTCATTTGAAAATGTTTCTGGGACCACAAGTCTCTAAACATTAAATTTTACACATCTATTTTAATAATCTTGGGTAAAAGTAAATAAAAATATTTCTCCTTCGATTTAAAGTAAATGTTATAAAGAACATAAAGCATCGCCCAGCCAGCATGGCTCAGTGGATTGATCAGGGTCCCATGCCCAAGAGGTCACTGGTTTGACTCTGGGTCCGGGTACATGCCTGGGTCTCCGCCTCGATCCCCAATAAGGGGTGTGTAGGAGGCAGCCAATCCATGTTTCTCCCTCTCCCTTCCTCTCTATCTAAAAATCAGTAAAAATATATTTAAAAACAAACAAACAAAAAACATAAAGCACCTACTTACCTCCAGTGTATCTCCCTTTTCCTTAAGGATGTCAAGTTGATAAATGCAAAGCTATTCTCCTACCCCTCCTTAAAATCATGCAAAACATACAAAGTCGATGAAAACCGGAGCAAATAAATAGGAGCACCCATCCAGGTGCTTTCTCATAGCTGCCGGTGGTGCAGATGCAGAGGGGACGGAGGAGACCTGCTCTGAAGCCAGTTCATGGTCCCCGGAATCCTTTTTGTAAATCTTGAATGTTTTAATTCTAAGACAGATGGACAAGGCACAGAACCTTGCTATAAATTTACTGCCTGCATCAATGTTATTTTCTGATGTTCTCTGCTTCTTTTCACAGGACCCTCCCCCAAGAGCTATGTGGTCTTTCTCAATACTGGTGCAGTTGAAAGGGAAAGGGTAAAAAAAGTGGGGGGGGAGCCAGGGATGCATCCTGTTTTGTGGTAAAGTGGCAGAAAGGGGATCTGGAAAGGCAATCAGTTTTGAAGAGTACTAGGAGATTGCATTCTGTATATTTATTCCCTATCCCCTTGCCTTTGGACAGACTTTCCTGCTCAGGGTGGGTCCTAGGAAATGTATTTAGAAGTATATTCCCTTCCTGTTTTGTTTTGTTTTGCTTGTCATGACTCTCCCTGACCACGGATGCCTTGTCTAGTCCTGGTGCTAAGGCCCTCTACAGACAAGTGTTCGGTTCAGGAAAAACAACTACATTTATTTGTAGCTTTAGAGATGCCAGAAAGTAGTGCAATTTCAAACATTCCCAATCAGTAAAAGAGACCACCAGCCGCTGGGAGTCAGAGTCACTTTCTGCCTCCAACACTTCTCACATTTCGGTGGTTTTGTGGGTATCGCTTTCATAAAGGCTGCTGTTTCTTCCATCCCTAGCTAGGACAGCACGGAACCCTCCATAGATCCAGCTCCCCAGAGGACTTCATGTCTGTACCCACACACGATCTTAGCAACGGCGACGGATCACACCAGCAGTGTGCCCGGCACAGGAAGGGTGCTCAAGGAATGTCGAGTCCAGCAATCAAAGGCCACAGTCTCTGCCCTCAGGGAGTCTGTTTCCAGCCACATCAACTCACCGTAAATACGCGAAGTTTTCCGTGTCGTTTTCCCAGAAAAGGGGCCGGTTAGGGGGCTGTTTCGATCGGTCACCCAGAAGCCTCAGCAGCCTGAAGGAGAATCAAGTGTGTTTCGGACCCAGCCAGCACGGCCATTACCATTAGGACTATTCTTCTTCCTAGTCCCCCCGCAACGCCCGCACCCCGCAGCGCCCAAACGCCCCTGTCCGAGCCCCGGGCTGGCTGGAGGGCGCGCAGACCCGGAGCCGACACTCACCTGCTCCTCGCAGCGACCCGCGCATCCCGGCGCTCCCCGGCTTTATGCAGCGCAGGCTCCGGCCCCGCCCCGCCCCCGGGGGAGAAAGGAACCGCCCAGCAGGGAGGGAACTTTAGGGGCCGAGAGCTCAGAAACGAAAGCGAACCTCAGCCTCTCCGGAGCCGGCCCTAAGCTGCAGCCTCCCAAGGTCTCCAGCTGTGCGCCCCGCACCAGAGCATCCGCATCCCGGGGAGTTTGCGGGGAGTGCAGGCTCTGGGCCCCACTCCAGACCTGCTGAATCGGAAACTCGGGCGCTGGCCCGGCAATTTGAGTTTCATCAGGCCATTCTGACGTTTTCGGTGCAGCTTTTGAGAAGCGCTGTTGGAAAGCCTCAAGGCATCCTGCCGTTCTCCTGAGCTCAGCAGTTAGAGCGCGGGCCGCCCCAAGGATCCCAGGGTAGATGGCCTGGGACCTCTACCTGGGTTGCAGGTTCCATCCCTGGAAGGAGGGAGGCAACCAATCAATCTTTCTCTATCTCCCTCCCTCCTTCCCACTCTATCTAAAAATCAATGGACAAATATCCTTGGGTGAGGATTAACGAAATAACAAATAAAAATGAAGGCCTTGAGACATCCAAACCGGAACATAGCCTCGAACCTGGAGGGTCCCTGACCTCTGAACAGAGGCTTCGCCCGTAATGAGGTGTCTTCCTGCTGGAGGGTTGGTCCAGCACCAGCAGGGGTTCTCAAACATTTTCATGTTAATGGCAACTTCCTCCATCTCCCCCTACTCCTGCAGCCCCACATCATCTTCCTCCTCTCCCAATTCTCCTTGTGCACCCCAAGCCTCCCTGGCACATCCGATTTGTCTGGGGCAGAGATGAGTAGACAGTGGGGACTGAGGTCAAGCCCACTGAAGAGTGGCCCTGGGACTCTGTGAGTAGGGAGCAACATTTCTCTTTGGAAAGAGAATATTCTACTTCCATTCTTCTTAGCTCAGCTCAGAGTCCCAGACAACAAGACATCCCCCACCCCAACCCACCCCACGCCGAAGACTCCTGTTACAACAGGCCAGTAAGCCAGGACGAGTAGAATGGGGAAACAGACAGAGAGCTGAACACACTGGCAGAACAATTTCCAGGGGCTACAGAAGGTCACCTCCCTAGAGATGACATCGAGGCCTCAGTTGTATTTCAGCTCCAGACCCAGAAAAACAGCAAAACCAGGTGGGTGACAACAGGACCGGCTGCAGTGACTGTCAAACCCCTGCCCTGACACTGACCAAAGTGAAGACCATGACTGTGGGGCTGGGGGTTTGTGGATGAATAAAATGTAGCCTTGAGGTATGCATTCTCACGGCCTGGCCAGCCAAGAGTCAAAGTATACATGCGAATAGATAAGGTATGCATAATGAGCTGGAACACAGCCCTGAATGTATAGTATGCATGAGAATAGATAAGGTATGCATGTTGGGTTTGGAAAACAGCCTTGAAAGCACCAATGGGCTTATTGCCCAAGTGTGAATGTGTTTGTTATGTATCTCTGCTGAAAATTGCGAGATACAGCTGGAATAGGAAGTATGCTTGCTTCGCTGTAAGGTTAGCAGAGACTCCACCTCAAAGACTTAATTACCTAAAACACCATGTAACCTAGGGAGCCACTTTGCAAATAAATTGGGCTGCATCCAGAGATCAGGAGCATTTGCTCCCTTGCGATGCTCCCCCTCACTCCAAGCCATCTCTGCTTGTAGTTCATTGCATTGCAACAACCTATGGCAGGCCAAGAGTCGGCATGACCCAAATATGTTGAAACCCTTCCCTGAGACCTCCCCAGGAGGTTTGCAACCAGGGCAGCAATGGGCAGCAGCAGTTCATCCCAGACCAACCCATGAACCTGTCCCCAAGGTCCCCTTTTCTCTGACTTCCCAGTGAGCCAAAGCAACCCGGCCTGGGCTCTCCTGCTATTTCTTCTATGCCCTTTCTAGTTTCACTGTCCTACGTGTGTTTTTGCAGCAGCCAATAAATTCTTGATTGCTTTTCTTCAATTTGTCTCTCGACTGAAATTTTTCCTTCAAGAAGACGAGAACATCTTGGCAAAAGAACACATGCTCTCCCAGTTATTAATGAGAAACCTTCGTTGGACAGACCACTCACCTGTTTGAGCTAAAAAAAATCACAACTCGCCTGGCCGGTGTGGCTCAGTGGATTGAGTGTTGCCCCATGGACTGAGAGGTCCCCATTTGACTCCTGGTCAGGGCACATGCCTGGGTTTCCGGCTTGATCCCCAGTAGGGGGCGTGCAGGAGACACCTGACGGATATTCCTCTCTCACATGGATGTTTCTGTCTTTTTCTTGCTCTCCCTTCCTCTCTCTAAATAAACAATAAAAACACTTTTAAAAATCACAACTTTTCTCCTCTAGGGGCTAAAAAAAGATTAATACCTTTCCTCTCACCTTCCAAGTTCTTCGAGCCGGCCTAAGACAGATAAACGGAGAAAATCCGATTTTAATACAGGTACATGAGGATTTCACGTAAGCATGAAAATTCCAGAGACAGGGAAGCAACATTGAGTGTACATGACATTTTGGACAAAAGAGAAATGGTCTAAGGTTTAGAAGAGAAAATGGGGGATGTCCAGGTAGTTGAGGAAGAGAGGACACAGTGGCAGGCACGTTCTTGCTGGGCAACCCAGAAACAACAGGACCCGGGGTGGGAGTGGGGGTATGGAGCTAACAGGCCCCTGCCTGAGGCCCTCTCTTTTTATTTTATGTTTTGTGTTCATCCTTACCCCAGAGTGTTTTTCCATGGAGTTTTAGATAGAGTGGCAGGGTAGGGGGAGGGAGAGAGAGAGACACCTATGTGAGAGAGACACATCGATTGGTTGCTTCTCACATGACTCCAACAGGGGCCAGGGATCAAACCTGCAACCCCAATACCTGCCCTTGACTGGGAATGGAACCTGAGACCCCTTGGTTCGTGGGCTGCGTTCTAACTGCTGAGCAAACTGGCCAGGGCCTGAAGCCCTTTATTTATCACAATTAATTCAAAGTAGACTGAGGCAAACATCCTAAGATTTCCTTCCTGCAGGTGACCTTTCGGTCTGAATCTCTTAGGTAGAAAGGGGGAAGGTCAAAGACTCTCTCTGAGTCTTTTGTTTTTTTATAACCAGGTTAAAAGCAATATCCCAAAAGGCCGCATCAGATGGCAAAACTTGGTCCCTTTCACACCTTTACTTCCTTCCCGGTTACAGAGTGGTGATACTGAGACAAGCCAGGGAGCCTGGAAAAGCGGAATAGGGAAACCGAGCCAGAAAGTTCGACAACAGTTTGCAGGCACCTAGCAAGTCCTGTCTTCCCTACACCAAGGACACTGAAGAGTCAATGGTTTGCACTTCTCCTTAACCAGAGGGTAAATAACTTAAATCACCCTGCTCAGAGAGACAGATAGCAGAAATCCAGTCTGTGCCATTTGCCAACCACAGCCAAGGACAGATGAAGCTAAAAGAATAAACCTGACTTGGGTACATCAGCATAAAACTGATGAATAGTCTAATGAAATCCTCCCCTGAGACTCCCTAAAAGCCTAGCCTTAAAAAAAACCTCAAAAAATAAAGGTCTAGCTCAACTCCCTCCCAGGAGCACACCCACGCCCCCGCCCCCTCCCCAACACATACAGTGATACCTCGGTTCTCGAACATAATTCGTTCCAGGAGGACGGTCGAGAACTGAATTGTTCGAGAACCGAAGCAATGAAACCCAATAGGAAAGCGTGACTCCACAAAGCGTGACTCTCTCTCTGCACTCACACTGCTGACGCGAGCAAGGCGCGCTGGGCCGAATGAACGCCATTCGGCTCAACTCGGCTCATCTCGGAAGTTCGAGTTCCAAATATTTGTTCGGATTCCAAGACAAAAGTTTCTCGAATCTCCTGGTCGAATACCGATTTGGTCGAAAACCGAGGCGTTCGAGAACTGAGGTATCACTGTATTCCCTTCCCACAGGTGTGCTTTGCCTAAACTCTAAGGGTCCCTACAGAGCTTGCAACCAGGGCAGCAATGGGCAGTAGAATTCATCTTGGGATAAGCCCTAGAACCTGTCCCCAAAGCCCCGTTTTCTCTGACTGCTTAGTGAGCCAAAGCAGCCCAGCCTAAGCTCATTTTTAAATCAGACAACGAATCGGTCTGGGCTGCCTATCACTACTTGAGCCAATTAAGCAGAGACTCCTACACGAGTGTTTATTCCAATTTGCCGTTAGTATGGGGGAGCAGTGGGTCATCCCGAAAAATCTACTCTGCCCACCTTCGCTGGCCGGCTGCTTTTAAAGGGTAGAGAAACAACGGCTACGTGAGAAAGGGCAGTTAGGCAAGGAAAAAAAAATGTGTAAAATGGTTCCAGGCAAGGGGGCGAGAAGGGGGTGTGTGTGAAAGGTTGCTGGCAAAGGGGGGAAGGAATGTGGAACAGGGGCCGCAGGGGCTGGCTACCAGTGAGTCGCAGTCACGTGTCCAGTGTTCCGATCATCAGGTTGTTAATCTTCCCATGATGTCAGGTAGCCCCCTTGTCCTCAGACTAGGAGAATGGACAGCATTCCCGAGGTACAATCCCAAGGTGTACACCTCCCAGCCGGGTCTGAATGAGCTTTTCTTCCATCAGAACAAAGCCATCATGACTAATATTGCAAAGGAAGATTAATATTTCTTGTGACTATGGCTAGCACCCCGCTGTGACTAGTTATCTATTCTGTTATTGTCTCCTGCCCCTTTCAGTTTCCCAGCCCTGTCTGCTTTCGCTGCCTCCAGCTTCAATAAACATCTCAAGTTCACCTGGACTCGTGAAATTGGTCCTGCACGAAGAATCCACACTCTGTAGGCTGGCCCCAGGCTGACCTGCTCAGGGGCCCCTTTCCGTCCCAGCACCATGTCCTGGAGGTGTGAGCAGGACGCCCTAGGCGTCTGCAGGAGTAACCTGCTGCTGAAACACGGGGTGGTGTGCGCAAGGCAGGCCCGGGCTGAAGACTCCTCAGTGATGAGTCCCACTGCTTCTCCAGCTGCAGGAGGCTCTCCCCGGTGACTCTGGTTGGGGAATGAAGTCC